CTGCTGCCTTGACCTCCTGGGCTCAAATGATCCTCCTGCCTCAGCTTCCTGGGCTAATGTTTGTATTTTTTGTAGAGATGGGGTTTTGCTATGTTGCCCAAGCTGTTTTCAAACTCCTGGACTCAGCAATCCTCCCACCTCAACCTCCCAAAGTGCTGGGATTACAGGCGTGAGCCACTGCGCCCAGCTCAATTCTCAGTAAAAACTTGATTGGGCCAAATAAAAACAACGTTGGCCAATTTCATGAGATTGATTTGGAAACCAGATGTCAATTTATTCAGTTCAAGTGAGATCTATATCTTCAGTAACCAGACCTCTCGAGTCTCCCATCCAAAACACTATCTTCCTCTAGTCAAGATGCCTGGCAAAGGCTGGACACAGTGGTTCACATCTGTAATCCCAGCACTTTGGTAGGCTGAGGCCAGTGGACCACCTGAGGTTGGGAGTTCAAGACCAGCCTGACCAACATGGAGAAACCCTGTCTTTACTAAAAATACAAAAACAAACAAACAAAAAACCTAGTCAGGCATGGTGGCACATGCCTGTAATCTCAGCTACTCAGGAGTCTGAGGCAGGAAAATCACTTGAACCCAGGAGGTGGAAGTTGAGGTGAGCCGAGATCACGCCATTGCACTCCAGCCTGGGCAACAAGAGCGAAACTCTGTCTCAAAAAACAAACAATAACAACAAAAATAAATAAATAAAAACAACAACAACAAAAATAAATAAATAAAAATAAAGAAAAAGAAGAAATGGAAGCTGGGTTCGAGAGGGCAATCAGCAGTCTCTACCACATTGTGAAACACCACTGTGATCTGACAGTCTTGATGATGTATTTTCAATGTACTGCCAAAATTGCAGCTAACTCCTCTTTACTCAGGATTTAGGGAGATGCCCTCCTTATGCCTAACTTATCACCAGCTTAACCCTCATCTCATTATATAGGATGAGATTACTTATAGGAAGGTTTTCTCTGGAGAGTGCATCATTTAAGAATATTTTAGGCCAGGGCACAGTGGCTCATGCCTGTAATCCCAGCAGTTTGAGAAGCTGAGGTGGGTGATTTGCTTGAGCCCGTGAGTTCTAGATCAGCCTGGTCAACATGGTGAAACCTCATCTCTTAAAAAAAAACAATACAAAAATTAGATAGGCATGGTGGTGTGTACCTGTAGTCCCAGCTACTCGGGAGGCTGATGTGGGAGGATCACTTGAGCCCAGGAGGTCGAGGCTGCAGTGAGTTGTGATTGTACTACTTCACTCCAGCCTAGAGTGAGACCCTGTCTCTGAAAAACAAAAAACAAGAAAGCAATACTGCAAAGAACCCTGATAGGGGTGAATTGGAAAAAGTAGAGAAATGTAATATTTCTTGCCTGCTGTACTCACTGTAACTGTGAGAGAATTGGCTCTTCTAACCATTGGATAAGAAAGGAAATATTATCTATGAAGGAATGTCTATCAGGTTAATTTTGACATCCTAGACACATTGATCTCCTTGCACTGTTAGTGACAGAAACCCATTAGAACCTTAAATAGCCATCTGAAATAAAAACAGAGCTCTCAGGTGATGAACCACCTAATCTCTCTGGGTATTCAGATGTAGGTCAGTCACAGGAGTATTAGGTGTAAAGCCCCGTGCTTCTGGGTAAAGCCTCCATTACCGGCTGCACAGAGGCCACAGGGAGCTTTTCCTGCAGCCTGGAGAAACTTCCTAAGTGTGGATGCCACCTTGTGGGACACCTGTAGAACTTCGGCGCTATCTTCTCCAAGAAGTAGCAGGATAGTCTCTCCCACTGGTGTCCTTCCAACGGTGTTGCATACAATTTGGCTGTATATTTGGCAGGTAGTGCAATGAAGGAATCAAAGACCAGGGCCACATACAGACTAGAAAGAAATGAAAACAGGGACTCCCAACAAAAACTTCTACACGAACGTTCACAGCAGCACTACTCACAACAGCTCAATGGTGTAATCAACCCAAATGTCCATCAATAGCTAGGACAGACAAAATGTGACATATCCATGCAATAGAATATTACTCATCCATAAAAGGAAGGAAGTACTTACGCATTTGCATGAGGGTGAACCTTGAAAACATGATGCTGAGTGAAAGAAGCCAGACACAAAGGGACAAGGACTGCATGATTTCACTTATAGGAAATGTCCAGAACAGGCAAATCTATAGAGAAGGTTGACTGCTGGAGGCCCTGGGGAGGGACCAATGGGGAGCCTCTAAAGGGCCCATCTTGGGTCCAGTGGCCATTCCTGGGCCAGTCAGCTTGGCCAGGGGATGGGGCCACATGGCACCCACATTAAGCAAGGCCCATTTTGTAAGTAGGGGCTGTTGAGTGATAGGCACCGTGGGGGTGTCCACATCCACTCCTCAAAGTATGGTCCTGGACCTAGCAGTACCACTATATCACTGGGCAGCTTCTTAGCAATACAAAATCCCAGGCCTTGTCCCACACCTAAGGAATCAGAATTTGCATTTTATTTATTTTCAATTTAAAAAATTTTTTTGAAGACAGTCTTGCCCTCTCACCCAGGCTGGAATGCAGTGGCACAATCTCGGCTCACTGCGACCTCTGCCTCCTGGGTTCAAGCAATTCTGCCTCAGCCTCCCAGGTGGCTGCGATTATAGGTGCCTGCCACCGTGCCCGGCTAATTTTTGTATTTTTGGTAGAGACAGGGTTTCACCATATCAGTCAGGCTGGTCTGGAACTCCTGGCCTTAAGTGATTCACCCACCTCGGCCTCAAAGTGCTGTGATTACAGGCATGAACCACTGTGTCCAGCCAAATGTAGTAGTACTTAAAAACAACATAAAAATCTCTCTGTTTCTGTGGGTCAGGAGTTTGGGTATGGCTTAGCTGGGTGCCTCTGGCATACAATCTCTCACAGGGCTGCGATCAAATTGTGGGCTGGGGATGCCATTAGCTAAAGGCTCAACTTGGCAGGTATCCTTTCTAAGCTCATATGTGTGTTGGCAGTCCTTGGGTACTCACTGGCAGCTGGTAAGAGACAGTTCCTCAAAACGTGGACCCCTTTACAGGGGCAACTGTAGTGGACTGAATAGTGTATCACCCCAAAATTCATGTTTGCACAGAAGCTGAGAATGTGACCTTATTTGGAAATAGGGTCTTTGCAGATGTGATTAAGAGGAGTTCATACTGGATGATGTTGGGCCCTAAATCCAACCACTGGTGTTTTAATAAAAGGAGAGGACACAAAGACACACACAGAGAAGGCCATGTGATGACAGAGGCAGAGCCTGGAGTGATACAGCCAAAGAATGCCACAGAATGCCAAGGACTGTCTGGAGCCACCAGAAGGAAGGAGTCTTCCCTGTAGCCTTCAGAGGGAACATGGCTATGGCTTTGCTGACCCTTTTTTTTTTTTTTGAAATAGTGTCACTGTTTCCTGGACTGGAATGCAGTGGTGTGATCATGGCTCACTGCAACCTTTCTGCCTCCTGGTTCAAGTAATTCTCCTGGCTCAGCCTCCAGAGTAGCTGGGATTACAGGCACCCACCACTACAACTAGCTAATTTTTTTTTGTATTTTTAGTAGCGACGGGGTTTCACCATGTTGGCCAGGCTGGTCTCAAATTCCTGACCTCAAGTGATCTGCCTACTTTGCCCTCCCAAAGTGCTGGGATTATAGGAGTGGGCCACCGTGTCTGACCTCTGCTGATACATTGATTACAAACTTCTAGCATCTGGAACTATGAGGATGAATTTCTGTTGTTTTAAGCCACCCAATTTGTGGTAATTTCTTACAGCAGCCTTAGGAACCAAGTGAGCCGGCTTCCCTAAGAGCAAATGAGTGAAAGTCAGAGAGTGCCCTCCAATGGAAGCCAGAGTGTTTCTGTAACCTAATCTTGAACATGACACCCCTGGATCAGAAACAAAGCACTTGATCCTGCACAGTAAGGGGATTACACAAGATCATAAAGATCAGGTGAGCATCACTGGAGGCTGTGAACCAGGGCTGCCTCACCAGCAAAAAATGGAGGAATTTAATTGGAAGAAACCTCTTCCTTCAGGGTTCTGCCTTCTCCATTCATTGATTCCTTCAATAGATGAATTTATTAAGGACCTACAACGGACTGGGTATAAGGGACATATGACCAATAAGACAAATAAGATTCTTTCTCTTGTTGAGATTATTTAGTTATAGGATAATAGGAACATCTGATTTAGATTAGGAAAGGAGGATATGGGCAAGTCATGTCTTTCTAAAAAAACATTATCAAGAATGAAGCTGAGGCCAGGCGTGGAGGCTCACACCTATAATCCCAGCACTTTGGGAGGCTGAGGTGGGCGAATCACCTGAGGTCAGGAGTTCAAGACTACCCTGGCCAACATGGCGAAACCCTGTCTCTACTAAAAATACAAAAATTCAGTGTGGTGGTGGGTGCCTGTAATTCCAGCTACTTGGGAGGCTGAGGCAGGAGAATCACTTAAACTCAGAAGGTGGAGGTTGCAGTAAGCTGAGATAACACCATGGCACTCCAGCCTGGGGGACAGCAAGACTGTCTAAAAAAAGTTGAAGAATGAGTAGAAATGAGGCTGTGTGTGTGTGTGTGTGTGTGTGTGTATTAGGAGGGAAGGGAAGAGTGAGTTTCTAGGTAGTGGGAAAGTACATGCAAATAAGTAAGTTGAGCAGCTAGACTAAAAGCTGCTTGAGGGCAGGGACCTTGTCTCTTCACCTCCGCATCTCTATTACACAACACAGAGCCTGGCAGAGGGAGAGAAATTCTTACTGGATGAAATGAATGAATAAATCCAAGGCATCTTCCATAGGTTGGTACAAAAACAATTGCAATTTTTGCTATTACTTTTAAATGGCAAAAACCACAATTACTTTTGCACGCATATTTCCTGTTACAGATGTCAATTCAAGTCATTTGAAAATTTTCTCTCAAAGTTCAACAATGGATCATTGCTCCTACTCACATTAGGTAGCATAGGCAAAGCTACTAGAACAAAAGACTCAAAGTAGGTAAAAGGTCAACACAAGTTTGTTTATTCCCACATAACAATAAAGAGTCGATATTTAGGTCAGTAAGGCACAGTTCTCCACTCAGGAATCTCCCATCTTCAGGCCTTGCCTTCTCCAGAGCCTGGTCACCATCTGCTTCCAGTTGGCAGAAGGAGTAAGAGCACAGGGAACACCTGTTGGAGGTCTGTATGGGCCAGGCCTGGAAACTGTGCACACCTCTTCTGCTCACTTTCCACTGGGGAGAGCACAGGCACAGAGGCACGCTTATTTTACTTGAGGAATGCAGTGTTGGTGTATGACCGACAAAGAAAACAATAATTCTGGTAGACAACTAAGTCTCCACTCCAATATTCAATTACTTACTTGACTTATGCTCTGGGATGTCTCAAATTAACCTAGATAGAAAAGAACTCTGGATCTTCCACCTCCATAAAGGCTTCACTCACTGAATGGCATCATTATCCATCTAGTTGCTTAAACATACATGTGAAAGTTATCCTTGGTCTGTTTCTTATCCTCCCCTTCCACATCTAATCCTTCAGGAAGTCCTGACAATGTTACCTCCAAAACATGTCTTAAATCCATCTTCTCAGCCAGGCACCGTGGCTCACACCTGTAATCCCAGTACCTTGGGAGGCCAAGGCAGGTGGATCATTTGAGCTCAGGAGTTGAAGAGCAGCCTGAGCCCATCTCTACAAAAAAAACCAAAAAATTAGCCAGGCATGGTGGCATGAGCCTGTAGTCCCAGCTACTTAGGAGGCTGAGGTGGGAGGATCACTTGAGCTCAGGAGGTCTAGGTTGCAGGGAGCTGTAATCACGCCACTGTACTCCAGCCAGTGAGACCCTGTTTCAAAAAAAAAAAAAATCCATCTTCTTTACACCTTTACTGCCACTTCCTTAGTTCAGACAGTGTAATAATCTCTCATCTGTATTATTCTCCAATAGCCTCCTAATAGATCTCCCTGTTTCCATTCTTGCTTGCCTATATTCCATTCACTAGACAGCAGAGTGATTTTTTTTTTGATACAGAGTTTTGCTCGTCGCCCTGGCTGGTGTACAGTGGCATGATCTCGGCTCACTGCAACCTCCATCTCCCGGTTTCAGGCAACACCCTTGCCTCAGCCTCCCGAGTAGCTGGCACTACAGGTGCATGCCACCACGCCCAGCTAATTTGTTGTATTTTAGTACAGACGGGGTTTCACCATGTTGGCCAGGATGGTCTCAGTCTCCTGATCTCGTGATCCGCCTGCCTCGGCCTCCGCAAAGTGTGGAATTACAGGCGTAAGCCACCACACCCGGCCCAGTGTGATCTTTTAAAACAAATTTGATCACACCACTCTTTAGTTTAAAACCTTACAATAGCTTAGAATAAAATCCAAAGTCCTGATTATGACCCCCTCCGCCAAGCAACATATGATGCAGCCCCTGCCCACATCTCCAACCTCATCCTTTTCATAATTTTTTTTTCTTTTTTTGAAATAGAGATGGGGTTTCTCCATGCTGGCCAGGTTGGTCTCGAACTCCTTCCTGACTTGGAGAGTAGGTGATCTGCCCGCCTTGGCGTCCTGAAGTGCTGAGATTACAGGCATGACCCACCGCGCCCGGCATCCAACCTCATTCTTCCTTTATTAGTCTCCTACTTGCTCTACTCCAGCTACAATGACCTTCTTGCTGATCCTTGAACACATTTAGCTTATTTCCACCTTAAAACGTTTGCCTATCTGCTCAGAAATCTTTTCCTTGGATTTCCAATAGCCAGCCTTTTCTCATTCCTCAGGGGTCTCAGCTTAAATGTTACCTCAGAAGAGACCTTTCTTAATCACCTAATACGAAGCAGTCCCCACATTCAGTTATTCTCTTACCTCAGCATCCTGTTTCCGTTCTTCTTAGCATCAGGCTCGGGCTTTCCTACTTCCTTTTCCTGAAAGAACCATGAGCCGGTACCGTGTCTTGTTCCCACTGTTTCCCCAATGTCTAGTATATTTGGCACAGACTGATGTGCAATTAATAAGTGAATGAAGAACCACTGTGAGGCGATTAGTCAAAAGCTCTTGCAAGGCCCTTTGACAGGTTATCAGTGGAGAGTAGGGAGCGCAAACCTGGGTTCTCATTCTATGCTTGACCACTTCTCGGCTGTGCACAAACTAGTCCAGCTCTCTGAGCCTCAGTTACCTAAACTGCAAACTAGGGATGGGAACATTCATACGTCGCAACGCCAAATGGCTACACTGTAAAGATGAAAACAGGTAATGCAAAGAACTCCACGTAAGGTTAATGCTCCGTAAACAGAGCTGCTACTGCTATTATGTACTCTACACAATCCTGCTCCTTTACGGCAGGACTCTCGTGCTTCAGTCGTCTCTTCTCTTTCCTGGGTCGACCTCCACCGATCCTCTCTGAAGAGCCCTTACCAGGCGTGAATCTCCGCAGCTAGGATAAAGGATGAGGCCCCAACGCATGCGCACTCAAGCGTGTCCGGGAGCGACCTCCAGAGGCCCAGCCCAGTCCGGTCGCCCATGACGTCATTAGTGCAGCGCCTCCGCCGCGGAAGGCCCGGGGGCCAGTCCTGCATGCGGCGCGTCTTAGGGAGGCCCAGGCCAGCGCCTGCAAGTCGGGTGCACGGCTCGGGGGCGGCTCGGAAACCACAGCGGAAGGCAGCGAGGGGCGCGTGGGGCCGTGGAGTCACGAAGCTGGGCGACGGGAAGGGCTGCCCGGAGCTCCCGCGGGACACAGCGCTTGCGTGAGGGCGGCCGGCGGGGCTGCCCGGCGCGGGTGTCCCGGCGATGTGTGGCGCTGAAGCGGTGGCGGGAGCAGCGGCGGCGAGCTCTGCTTCGGCTTCGGCTTCGCGGAGGTGCAGGCGGCGGAGGCGGAGGCGCAGGCTCCTCCTTAGGAGCTGGCGAGCCCCGGCCTAAGCGGCGGCCCCGCGAGGCCCCTGCATAGTGCCCCAGGTCGAGGCCCTCCCCGCCTCGCCCTACCCCGGGAGCCTGCCTCCCCTGCCGGGGATGAGGCTAGGAGGCGGCCGCGCGGGGCCCAGCACAAAGGCTTGTCCCCAGGGGCCGCCGCCTCTGCCGCTGCTGCTGCGGCCAGCCTAAAGCCGCCCGCCGAAGCAGAGCCGGCACCGGGGCCCTCATCCCTACCGGTCCCCAGGGGCGGCTGCTGCCCGTCGCCCCGAAGCCCAGGGGCCCGAGTGCCGAGCCCTTTGCTCCCTCGGTCTCGCGGGGACAGGGCGGCTGAGCAGCCTCAGCTCTTCGCGGCTGCGGGAGCCCCACGGAGCATGTCGGAGGAAAGCGACATGGAGAAAGCCATCAAGGTAAGGGGGAGGTGCCCCCTCTTCCCCTGCTTTGTCCTGTGGCGTTCTTCTCGGCTCCAGCCCCAGAAAGCGGGGAGATTTTGCAGTGAGATTTTCGAGCGACTCCCGGGTTTCGGCCTCCCTCTGATTCCGTGGACTGCGCTTTACAGCTCTGGGGCCAAGGGTGTGGGTGTGGGTGTGTGTCCGACTCCCTCCAGCTTTCCTGGTGTGATTTGCGCTCAGCTAGAACGAAGGTGAGTGGCGCGGAAGTACTATCAAGTGTCAATGAATGGGACGAAGAGAGCCCTGCTGCTGCTACTCATTTCGATCGTTCCCCGAGGGCCGCCAGCATTTGCTTCCGGATGGTCTGCAGCGCTTGGAGAGTTGGAATTTATCCATTCCTCCCGTTTTGTTTGAAATCTGCTTTCTGGAAATCTGCAGTTTTGGAAGAAGGTGGTTTGCCGTACAAAACCTGTCCTTTGGCGAATAGGTTGTCCTCGTTTTTCCGTGTGTTGTCCCCTTTTTCTTTTTCCTCTTCTATCTCCTAGGAAGCATTTTTACTTAGGAAGAATTAACAGTTCCTGCGACTTAACTGCGCTTAAGCCAAAAGAAAAGCAAATGTGTGTTGGAAAATTGAACAAATAAAATAAGCTTTCTAAAACCTGTTTTTCCATTTTTTTTTTTTTTAAAGAAAGGCACATTTTGCCCACTAAGGGCCAGTTATCTGTCTTGACAGCTGTAGCTAAGAAATTAGTCTTATGAAATTAAACACTGACGCTTAAAGTTTGATGTATTATTTATTTGGCAGTGTTAAGTCAACCCAGTGCATTGAATAATTTAATTTTATCCTGAAGGACAGGCATTTATTGGCAGCTTGGGGTTATTTTCTCCTTCAAGACAGTGACTATTACTAGTAACTGATTGAGAAGTTACCCTTCTACCAATTCTTTGGGTGCTGTATATAGTTTCTCCAAATCATCAAGTCATTTTAAGGAAACTTAACCCTTTAAAGGAGGCATCAACATGTAACATATACATTAAAGAAGACCAAGTTTTAAATTATAAAAATAAAGGTTCTAAAAGACTGCTTTGTTACATCCTTTTCTTTTGGTTTGGGATTTACTGGACAGGGGCATGATTTGCTGACTGAAGTTATTTAATTGGGTTGTGAATCAAAGTGTATGTGGCCAGTTTTTAAACATTGTGCCAGATGGTGTGCTAGACACAAATGGTACAAGCCAGACTCCTAGATGTCCCTGTTCTCATGTAGCATATATTCTAGAGGGCAGAGTTACTGCCAGGTGGTTTTAATTAAGTGTGGAAAGGGTGAGGAGTACTATGTTAAATAGGTTAGTCTAAGGAGGTCACACGGTGTAGAGTTCTGGCGGAAATGAGGGAGCAAGCCACCGGTGTCTCAGGGAAGAGTAAAACAGGCAGTGGGAACAGCAAGGACAGACCTTGAGGCAGAAGCAGGTATAGTGTGATGTAGGAATAGCAAGGTGGCTGGAATGCAGTGGGTCCGTGGAGATGACATAGAGCAGCAATGGGAAGCATGGCACTTAGGGCCTTGTAGGCCATCGGAGGAACTGGCTTTGACCCTGATTAAAAGTGGAACTATGGGAGAGTTTTGAGCAGAAGAGAGACATAGTTCCAGGGGACGAGTATACAAATAGGACAGCAGCATTACTTAGTGGTTATAGTCTCTCTAGGTAGACTGTTGAATCTCAGCCGTTTTTTTTTTTTTTTGAGATAGAGTTTCACTCTGTCACCCAAGCTGAGTGCAGTGGTGCAGTTGCGGCTCACTGTAGCCACCTCCTTCCTGGTTCAAGTGATTCTTGTGCCTCAGCCTCCGGAGTAGCTGGGATACAGGCATAAACCACCACACCCAGCTATTTTTGTATTTTTAGTAAAGATGGGGTTTCACCATGTTGGCCAGGCTGGTCTGACCTCAGGTGATCCACCTGCCTGAGCCTCCTAAAGTGCTGGGATTACAGGCGTGAGCCACTGCACCCGGCCCAGGTGCAGTGTTTTATTAGCCCTCTGTCTTTGAGGCCACTTCACTTCTGTCTCCTTAGTTTTCTCACCTGTTGATGGGATAAAAGCACTTCCGAGCTCATAGGGTTTTTTTTGTTTTTTTGAGGATTAAATGAGCACATATACCCAAATGTGTTTATAATAATACCTAGGCCAAGCTCGGCGGCTCGTGGCTGTAATCCCAGCACTTTGAGAGGCTGAGGCAGGCAGATCACCTGAGGTCAGGAGTTGGAGACCAGCCTGACCAACATCACGAGACATCCCCCCCCCCCCCCGTCTCTACTGGTGGCACATGCCTTAATCCCAACTACTCAGAAGGCTGAGGCAGGAGAATCACTTGAACCTGGGAGGTGGAGATTGCCACGAGCTGAGATCACACCACTGCACTCCAGCCTGGGTAACAGAATGAGACTCTATCTCAAAATAATAATAATACCCAACAGCAAGAGTTCAAGGAATATTAGCTCATAGCAACTTATGCTTTAGAAAGAATTGTTTTCTTCACTTGACTTTTGCCCAGCCCAATTTTCTTAAAATTTTTTTAGCTTTTCTTCACTCAAAGTACTTGATGGGTCACTGGTGAATCATTATACTAATTGGGGCATGTCCAACGAACACCTATTGGTGGAGTGGAAAATATCTGAACTGACAACCAGTACTGACTAGGATGTACTACTCTGGAAGCAAGCCAGCATTACATCAAATAAACATTTAGTCTGTGGCATTGTGTTGGATTCACTGTTTTGCTGTCTTTGAGGTGTTCATCAAATGGTGAGCACTGAGACAGACCTGTAGTGTTCACCTGGAAAGCTGTTTTCCTGGCCTCCAGCCACAGCACTTGAACTCCTGCTGCCAGACTACCTGAGAGTGGACTGATTGGACTTTAAGATCTCATCCTCCCTTATCCGTGGTTTTGCTTTCCTCAGTTTCAGTTACATACGGTCAACTGCAGTCTGAAAATACTAAATGGAAAATTCCAGAAATCAACAATTCATAAATTTATTTTTATTTTTTTGTAGAGACGGGGTTTCACCATGTTTACCAGTATGGTCTCGATCTCTTGACCTGGTGATCCACCCGCCTCGGCCTCCCAAAGTGCTGGGATTATAGGCATGAGCCACCGTACCCGGCATATTTATTTATTTTGAGACAGAGTCTCTGTCACCCAGGCTAGAGTGCAGTGGTGCAGTCTCAGCTAACTGCAACCTCTGCCTCCTGGGTTCAAGCAATTCTTCTGCCTCAGCCTTTTGAGTAGCTGGGGTTACAGGCATACACCACCATGCCCAGCTAATTTTTGTGATTTTAATAGAGATGGGGTTTCACCATGTTGGCCAGGCTGGTCTCGAACTCCTGACCTCGTGATCTGCCTGCCTTGGGCTCCCAAACTGCTGGAATTACAGGCATGAGTGACTGTGCCTGGCCCTCATAAGTTTCAAATTATGCACTGTTCTTTGTAGTGTAATGAAATCTCTTGCTGTATTGCCTGGGACATGAATCATCCCTTTGACCAGCATGTTCACACTGTATATGCCTCCTGTCCTTTAGTTACTTAGTAGTCATCTTGGTTATCAGAAAAAAACAGTATATATAGGGTTCAGTACTATCCAAGGTTTCAGGCATCCACTGGAGGTCTTGGAAAATATCCCTTATCTGTAGAAACTACTGTACTCTTAAAATTTTAGGATAAGAGGCTGGGCATAGTGGCTCACGCCTGTAATCCCAGAACTTTGGCAGGCCAAGGCGGGTGGATAATTTGAGGTCAGGAGTTCAAGACCAGCCTGGCCAATATTGTGAAACCCATCTCTACTTAAAAAAAAAAAAAAAAAGAAAACCAAAAAATTAGCCCGGTGTGATGGCGGGTGTCTGTAGTCCCAGCTACTTGGGAGGCTGAGTCAGGAGAATTGCTTTAATCCATGAGGTGGAGGCTGCAGTGAGCTGAGATCACTCCACTGTACTCCAGCCTGGGTGTTAGGGTGAGACTCTCAAAAAAAAAAAAAAAAAAAAAAAAAAAAAAAGATTTAGGATAAGGTCAAATGGCTATAATTGGACTCTCTATCTTCACCTGTATCTCTATTCCCCTAGCCCCATGACTTTGCCATGCCCAAGACACTTAGCTAAACCTGGAGAGCGGGCATTTTGGGATTAGAGATTCTTACATACTGTACTGCAGCCTGGGTGTTTTATAATTATATATAGCAAGTCATTAATACTTGATGAACTTGGTGAAAATCCATTTCCTTAGTTTTTAAAATTAAAAAAATGTAATATAGTTTGTACATCATAAAAATACCCCCAGTGTAAATGTACAATGCAGTAATTTCTAGTAAATTTGTTATATTTAGTTTTTGAGATGGAGTTTTGCTCTTGTCGCCCAGGCTGGAGTGCAGTGGTGCAATCTTGGCTCGCCTCAGCCTCCCAAAGTACTGAGATTACAGGTGTGAGCCACTACGCCCAGCCAACTGATAGAGTTGTGTAGCCATCGTCACAGTCTGGTATAGAACATCTCCATTCCTTCTAGAAAGTTCCTTTGCCTGGTTGTAGTCATCCCCTGTTCCCATTCCTTGCCCGTTACACCCACTGATTTGCTTTGTCTCTATAGTTTTTGCCTTTTCTAGAAATTATAAATTAATGAAATCACTTACCAGTTTTATGTGTTTAATTTCTTTTTTCTCTTTCTCTCTTTCTCTTTCTTTCTCTCTCTCTCTCTCCCTCCTTCCCCCCCCCCCCCCCCTTCTCTCTTTCTCTCTTTCTTTCGAGATGGAGTCTTGCTCTGTCACCAGGCTGGAATATAGTGGCCCAATCTTGGCTCACTGCAACCTCCACCTCCAGTACAAGCGATTCTCCTGTCTCAGCCTCCTGAATAGCTGGCATTACAGGCATCCGCCATTATGCCCAGCTAATTTTTGCATTTTTAGTAGAGACAAGGTTTCACCATGTTGGCCAGGATGGTCTTGATCTTCTCACCTTGTGATCTGCCTGCCTTGGCCTCCCAAAGTGCTAGGATGACAGGTGTCAGCCGCTGCGCCCGGCCATGTGTTTGGTTTCTTAGCAGATTTCTCAGGTTCATCCATGTCGGTGCATGCTTTAGTAGTTCATTTTTTATTGAGGAGTACCTTTTTTTTTTTTTTTTTTTTTGCGGTGGAGTCTTGCCCTGTTGCCAGGCTGGAGTGCAGTGGCCAATCTCAATTCACAGAAACATCCACCTCCCGGGTTCAAGTGATTCTCCTGCCTCAGCCTCCCTAGTAGCTGGGACTACAGGCATGTACTACCATGCCCAGCTAATTTTTGTATTTTTAGTAAAGACAGGGTTTTACCACATTGGCCAGGATGGTCTCAATCTCTTGTCCTCATGATCGGCTTCCCAAAGTTCTGGGATTACAGGTGTGAGCTGCTGTGCGTGGCTGAGCAGTAATCTTTATTACTTATCCATTCTCAGTTAATGGACATTCAGATTATTTCTAGTTTTTAGCTGTCATGAATAAAGTGATAAAACTGTACAAGTTTTGTGTGAATATATGTAATTCTGTGTAGATAGCTAGGTGTAGAATAACTGGGCAGAACAGTAAGCTTATGTTTAACTTTTTAAGAAACCACCAAACTGTTTTCCAAAGTGGTTGTACCATTATACATTCCCACCGGCAGTGTTTGAAAGTCCTAGTTTTTCTACCATCTTCACAAATATTTGGTATTTTCAGTCTTCCTATTTTCGTCCTTCTGGTGGGTGTGTACTGGTATTATGGACATATTTTTACATGCAGATTTGCCATTTGTGCTTCTTTTCTGGTGAAGGGACAATTCCAATCTTTTGCCCTTTTTTTTTTGAGATGTAGTCTCACTTAGCCACTAAGGCTGGAGTGCAGTGGTGCGATCTCAGCTCACTGCAACCACCATCTCCTAGGTTCAAGTGATTCTCTCGTCTCAACCTCCTGAGTAGCTGAGATTATAGGCACCCGCCATCATGCCTGGCTAATTTTTATATTTTGGTAGAGATGGGTTTTCACCATGTTGGCCAGGCTGGTCTTTAACTCCTGACCTCAGGTGATCCACCTACTTTGGCTTCCCAAAGTGCTAGGATTATAGGCATGAGCCACCACACCCAGCCTGTTTTGCCCATTTTATTTTATTTTTTGAGATGGAGTTTTGCTTTTGTTGCCCAGACTGGAGTGCAATGGTGTGATTTTGGCTCACCCCACAACCTCCGCCTCCCAGGTTCAAGCAATTCTCCTCCCTCAGCCTCCCAAGTAGATGGGATTACAGGCATGCGCCACCATGCCCGGCTAATTTTGTATTTTTTAGTAGAGATAGGGTTTCTCCATGTTGGTCAGGCTGGTCTCAAACTCCTGACTTCCTCCTGAGGTGATCTGCCCACCTCAGCAGACTCCCAAAGTGCTAGGATTGCAGGCATGAGCCACCATGCCTGGCCTCTTTTGCCCATTAAAAAAAATTTTTTTTTTAGATGGAGTCTCACTTTGTCACCCAGCCTGGAGTGCAGTGGTGTGACCTTGGATCACTGCAACCTCTGCATCCAGGGTTCAAGCGATTCTCCTGCCTCAGCCTCCTAAGTATCTGGGATTACAGGTCTGCGCAATCATGCCCAGCTAATTTTTTGTATTTTTAGTAGAGATGAGGTTTCACCATGTTGGCCAAGCTAATCTCGAACTCCTGATCTCAAGTGATCCCCTCACCTCACGCTCCCAAAGTGCTGGGATTACAGGCGTGAACCACTATGCTTGGGCTAAAATTGGTTTCTTTGCCTTATTGAGTTATAGGATTATTTATTTACTTACTTATTTATTCATATTTTTAGAGATGAGGTCTCGCCATGTTGCCCAGGCTGGTCTTGAACTCCTGGCTCAAGCAGTCTGTCTGCCTCAGTCTCCCAAAGTGCTAGGATTACAGGCATGAGCCACTGCACCTGGCCAAGAGTTTTTTTGTTGTTTTGTTTTGTTTTTTTGAGTCAGAGTCTCACTCTGTCATCCAGGCTGGAGTACAATGGCGCGATCTCAGCTCACTGCAGCCTCCGCCTTCCGGGTTCATGTGATTCTCCTGTCTCAGCCTCCCAAGTAGCTGGGACTACAGGGGTGTGCCACCACACTCAGCTAATTTTTTTTGTATCCTTTAGTAAAGACAGGTTTTACTATGTTAGCCAGGATGGTCTTGATCTTCTGACCTCATGATCTGCCCACCTTGGCCTTCTAAAGTGCTGGGATTACAGGTGTGAGCCCTGTGCTGGCTATATGCAGATTTTCGACTGTCCAGGGGGTCAGTGCCCTCAACTCTTAGGTTGTTCAAAGGTTAAATGTATTATCTATGAGCTTTCCATTTCTTTAGGGCTTCTTCAGTTTCCCTCAGCAGTTTCTAGTTTCCAGTATATAAATCTATAAATCCTGCCCTTCAATAAATTTATTTCCTTTTTTTTTGTCTGAGACAGAGTCTCATTCTGTCATGCAGGCTTAACTGCTCCCAGCCTAGTAATTATTTTCATTATGAAATAAAAGGGTACAGGTCAGGTGCAGTGGCTCATGCCTATAATCCCAGCACTTTGGGAGGCCAAAGCAGACGGATCATGACGTCAGGAGATGAGAACATCCTGGCTAACGTGGTGAAACCCCGTCTCTACTAAAATAAAAAAATTAGCCAAGCATGGTGGCGTGCGCCTGTAGTCCCCGCTACTCCAGAGGGTGAGACAGGAGAATCATGTGAACCCGGGAGGCGGAGGTGGGAGAATGATTTGAGCCCAGGAGTGCTAGGCTACAGTGAGAAATAATCACACCACTGCACTCTGGCCTGGGTCACAGAGTGAGACCCTGTCTCTTGGCTTTTTTTTTTTTTTTTGAGACGGAGTTTCACTCTGTTGCCAGGCTCCAGTGCAGTGGTGTGATGTTGGCTCACTGCAACCTCTGCCTCCTGGGTTTAAGTGATTCTCCTGCCTCAGCCTCCCCAGTAACTGGGACTACAGGCACGCGCCACCACACCCAGCTAATCTTTGCATTTTTAGTAGAGATGGGGTTTCACCATGTTGGGCAGGATGGTCTTGATCTCTTGACCTTGTGATCTGCCTCGGCCTCCCAAAGTGCTGCGATTACAGGTGTGAGCCACTGCACCCAGCTGAGACCCCTGTCTCTTAAAATAAATAAGTGAGTGAATGAATGAATGATTGAATTAAATTCTTTCTTATCTAAAAGTATACAGCAATAGAGGCTAACATGCAATGGTTACCCAAGAATTCCATTAAAACTCATTAAACTATAGAGGCTCTATTCTAAACTGCTGAAAGTTATTTATATCGGAAATATACTTACATAATGAACATGACAGAATATGTCTGTATACTGTTGGAAATTAGATGTTTACTATGATATTTATTAGTATTTGAACTTTTAACTCCCAATTTATTCAGTTATTCCAATAATTTAATCAACTTGTTCAGGGATATTGGCCTCTAGAGGATGACAGCATATATCTGGCTAATCTTTCTAGAATCTCATAAAATATGCTTGCCCAGACCGGCTGAGGTGGCTCACTCCTGTAATCCCAGCACTTTGGGAGGCCAAAGGTCAGGAAATCAACATCATCCTGACTAACATGGTGAAACCTTGTCTCTACTAAAAATATAAAAAATTACCTGGGTGTGGTGGCAGGCACCTGTAGTCCCAGATACTTGGGAGGCTGAGGCAGAAGAATCGCTTGAACCTGGGAGGCAGAGGTTGCGGTAAGCCGAGATTGCACCACTGCACTCCAGCTTGGGCAACAAGAACCAAACTCTGTGTCAAAAAAAAGAAAAAACAATGTGTGTGTGTGTGTGTGTGTATACATATATATATTTGACCATTGTAGCAAAGAGGCATTTAGTAGTTGATGCATTTTGAAAAAAATATTTTCCTCTCAGATCCCCCCAAAGCATTGATTGTCTAAGTATATGAACCTTGTAGGTGAGCTGAATAATTTCTTTTTATCTTGACGTCTTTGCTTTCTTGTTGGAAAATTGGAAAACAATGTCTAACAGAGTCATGTAGACAAAATGTCTAGTTATAAAGCCCTGGAGAACACAAAGTTTTGCTTATCAGTTTCTTAGAAGATGAGCTGTTGAATGATGGGTCTTCTGTTGTCCCAACTCTGCTTATTTAGCTTTAACTGGAGAATCATTCTCTGTCCTCTCCCATTTTTTTGTATTAATAGGAAACTTCCATTTTAGAAGAATACAATATCAATTGGACTCAGAAGTTGGGAGCTGGAATTAGTGGTCCAGTTAGGTAAGAGATCCATATGAGAATTATGGCAAAATGTTGGCATGTACAGACTCTCAAAGGGCCATTTGAAATACATCTTGAATTAGACACATCAGGTGTACTAGGTTTGAGAAATAGCCTGAATTTAATAAGTACAGGTTTTTATGTTAGGCTTTTTCTCATGCATTTAGAAATTAAGTGACCAAGTTAAGTGACCAAGTCGCATGGTCTTTTTATGGAGTCATTTCAGATGTTGAGATTGTGGGGCCACTGTGAGAGTCACCTGTAGCCAACTGAGGCCATTATTTTTTCATTGACCCACAGCAGCGAGTTGATATTGAATTGCTTAGTAGCTGAGGGCTGAGCATTGGCGGCTTGGCAGAGGCCGATGTCCCTACCTGCTACCCTTGGGGGCAAGTTTGTTCTGATGCACATGGCCATATCCTTGATGAGAAGTACAAATCTCAAAGAAAAAACTTGTTAAATTAATTGTCATTGTAACATATATGATCTCTGATTGATTTTTTTTTCTCCAAATCTAGAGTCTGTGTGAAGAAATCTACCCAAGAACGGTTTGCACTGAAAATTCTTCTTGATCGTCCAAAAGCTAGAAATGAGGTATGCTTTATTGCCTCGACTTAATTAAATATTTGAAATGCCTAAGAATTCTTTTTGCAAGTAAGGCAGCTTCCTAGAGAGAATACAGAGATGCATAGAAAGTTTTATGTCCAAACTTCACCTCTCTTCCCTATTCATGCTATCATTTTAAAATAGTCCTAGATCTGTCAGTATCAAAAGCCGTTGAGTCATTTCCTGTCAACCACCTCTTGTTCTTTTAAAATTAATTTGATTCTTGGACCCTAATGTATTCAGATTACTTCAGTTTTGCCTATTTAAAAAGATACTTGAAGTTAGAGATGAAATAGCACCAGGAAGGGTCAGGTGAATGATGTATAGAAAGTGATGCTACAGGAGGACTCAGGATGTTTCTAGTTTTTAAAAATATACATTGTGTTTGTTTCTGTTTGTGACAGGGTCTTGTTCTTTATTCAGTTATTATAATAATTTAATCAACTTGGTCAGGGATATAGGCCTCTACAGCATGGCAGCATATATCCGACTAGTCTTTCTAGAATTTCATAAAATACACTTGCAAAGAGGCATTTAGTAGTTGCATTTAGTAGCTCCAGGCTGGAGTGCAGTGGCACCATCACGGCTCACTACAGTCTTGACCTCCCTGGGCTCAAGTGATCCTCCCACCTCAGCCTCCTGAGTAGCTGGGATTACAGGCATGTGCCACCATGCCTGGCTAATTTTTTTTTGTATTTTTTGTAGACATGGGGTTTTGCCATATTGCCCAGGCTGGTCTCGAACTCCTGGGCTGAAGTAATCGCCTGCCCTGGCCTCCCAAAGAATTGGGATTACAGGTGTGAGCCACTGCCCCTGGCTATACATTGGTTTTAAATTATCTGGATATGGTAGTGACATGCTAATAACATGTGCAATGAAGGACTTTTGCATAAAGATATGTGTATAATTTCTAGAATAAAATGGGTTGTTTGCCAGATTTTCATTTGCAAACGGGACAGTAGGAAGTAACTTTGTTGATGAGGTTTTATTCATGGAAAAGGCATTAAGGAGATAATCTTTGAAAATACTGACTTTTTACATCATTCTGGGTGATAAAGTTTTTATTGTAATAGGCTTGCACCTAGTGTGATCAGTTTTTGGAGAGAAGTTTGGAGAGAAATTGTTGGTATCCCCTACATATGGAAACATTTCCTCTCTTCTCTTTAAGGTACGTCTACATATGATGTGCGCCACACACCCAAACATAGTTCAGATTATTGAAGTGTTTGCTAACAGTGTCCAGTTTCCTCATGAGTCCAGCCCTAGGTAAGACTACAAAGTATTATCATCACATGCCCATATATAGTGGAGTTGTCTTCTCTTTTATGTACTCTGTCCCCCTCCCTCTCCTCCTTCTTCCTACCCTCCCTTCCTCTGCTCTTCCTTCTCGCCCTCCCTTCCCCCTCAGTCTCCCTTATTGTAATTTGGAAAATGTCAAGCACTTGTAAAAGCAGACAGAATTAGGTAATGAATCCCCAAGTTCTCTTGATCCATCCTCAACAGCAATCCTCTCATGGTCAGTCTAGTATCATCTGTGCCCCACCACTTCACGTTCCCTGATTATTCTGATTACTTTCTCATTTAAAGAAAGCATTTATGTGGAATTTAAACAGATTATATTTCAAATAAGCAAAAGGGGCACAAATAGTATTCTAGGCAAAGTCTTAGAGGCTGATAAAACAAAAAGCCTTTATTGCTTAGTCTGACTTTACTTTTAAAGAAAGAAATCAACATGATTCTTTTAGTTACTAAATGTTTGGTAAGCATAATGGGTGGCATTCTAAGTCTTTTTGATGGAATTCAAAATTAAAGTATGTGTTTTTGGGGGGAGACTGAGATGTAAACCCATCATTATAGCAGTACAGTTAGTAGCTACTAAGGATAGGCATTTCTGAAATATTCTTTTTTTTTTTGATTTGGAGTCTCACACTGTCATCCAGGCTGTAGTGCAGTGGCATGATCTTGGTCACTGCAATCTCCGCTTCCTGCATTCAAACAATTCTCCTGCCTCAGCCTCCCGAGTAGCTGGTACGACAGGCGTGCGCCACTACGCCCAGCTAACTTACTTGTATTTTTAGTAGAGATGGGGTTTCACCTTGTTGGCCAGATGGTCTCGATCTCCTGACCTCATGTTTCTCCTGTCTTGGCCTCCCAAAGTGCTGGGATTACAGAGCTACCATGCCCGGCCCCACATCCTGAAATATTGTAAGCGTACAAAGGAGAGGAGCTGCTAACTATAGTCTGGGAGGAGAGGTGTCTCACAGAGGCTGTGTGGAAGCCAGGACTTGAAGCAAGGGTAGGAATTTTCCGGATGGAAAAAGAAGACAGAATTTTAAAAACAAATGGGAAGTCAAACGATTATTTTTCACAACTGTGCTCTGTTGGTGAAAGCATTTGGATGGAAGCTGGAAGCAAAAATCACATTAAAAAGTTTTTTTAGAACAGGAGACTTTTTGCTCTTAGTAGCTGTGTTACTTTGTACTTAGGAAGTTGTTACACACTTCGTAGATGAGATATCTTTAGGTCAGCTTCTTAATGTTTCAGGGTTTTTTTGGTTTCTTTTTGTTTCTTTTTTTTTTTTTTAAACTTAACAAAATCAAATGCTTTCAAACAGGGCCCGACTCTTAATTGTAATGGAGATGATGGAAGGGGGAGAGCTATTTCACAGAATCAGCCAGCACCGGCACTTTACAGAGAAGCAAGCCAGCCAAGTAACAAAGCAGGCAAGTTAACCCCAGGTACCAAACTGCCAACAGTTGGTTAACAAGCGCAATTTCATTGGGGGGAATAAAAGAATCCTTAAAGAAAAGCTCTATTTGACTTCTCATTGCCTGCTTTGTTATGTAATCAGAAAAGATGTTTTGACAGGAGAAATGTGACCCCTTTTATACTTGGGGGTGGGGGGCCTGTGTTCTTAATTGGTTGTCAACTGTTTCCTGAGGCTACTGTGAGATTTCTGTAAACTCTGGAGGGAAGGTGATTTTAACTCCTTAGTAGGGAGGCTGCAGGTATCTCTAGGCATGTAGCTACCAAGTACTCTATTGGACTTTGAGGTAAAATGCTGCTGATGCCACCCGAAAGATTGTTAGGTATAAAAATATATTCTAAGATGCTTCCTGCATGTGAGTCACCTTTCTGTCATTTCTTTAGATTTAATAATATCCTAAGATCTTTGTAATTCTGGATTATTCCTGGTTATATTCTATTTTGACATCACATTTTATTGCTATAAAAATGATTTATGTCACAAACAATGCTAGGAATTCAACTGATAATCACTTCTTGGAGAGGTGAAAAGCTAAACCCTCAGGGCTTATCTTCATACCAGGCAAGCAAAACAAAGAAAATCAGGAAGCACAGCCCAATTGCTTCTTAATAAAAAATTCTTCCAAGTTTTCTGTGAACCTTAAGCAATTATGGATGCCTCCTTTCTGGTAGGGAGGAACTGATACTTGGATTGCTGAGAAAATTCCATATTGAGAGTTAAAGAACAGGTAGAATCTATTCTTTCTGTTTGATTTTTAAAAGTATACCTTTAATTTTTTCAAGTATTAGGATTAAAGGATGATCTCTGATAATCTTCTATAAAACAAAACCCCTTCAAATCCACATAAACAGGCAACATTTTCAACAAGTATGATGAGCAAAATGAGTTTCCAGTATTAGTTGGAAAAACCCAGTCAGCTGATTTTTTGACCTTCAGCTCTCTGGAGAGTGCCATTCTTGTCTGAGCCAGGCCATCCTGCCTGTAGCCCTGCTGTGGGAAACCCGCACCTGCTGACCATTGCTCAGCTTAGGTGTTTCTTCTGCAATGCTTGTCATACCTCAGGTGAATGAAAGTGAGAGCATTTCATTTTCTCATTTCTTACAGGATTTACCCATCAGTTTACTCTGACAAAGATTGCTGTACCATCATATTTTTCTTTCTGTTTGACAAAATACAAGTTGCAGTTAAACTAAGCTTAATCCATTTCTGTTTCTTGGTATTCCAAGTCTTTCTTAATTTTTGCTTTAAAATTGAAACTGAACACAGTCTTAATGAAGGCTTGTTTTTTAACATCCTGAGTTCTCTACACCAGGGGTGTTAAAGAGTGATGTTTTCTAAGAAGCGGCTGTTCCATTGTGTCTTTTTTCAGATAGCTTTGGCTCTGCGGCACTGTCACTTGTTAAACATCGCGCACAGAGACCTCAAGCCCGAAAATCTGCTTTTTAAGGACAACTCTTTGGTGAGAAGCCTTGTTTTTCTGCATTTTAGTGCTGCTACTCTTAACATAGTTCAGGAGTGGGTGTGTTTGGAGCTCTCTGAATTCATGGTGAAGAAGGATTAGGCCGCAGTGCTTCAAACAGCTTAACCCATTCCCTTGCTAGAAGCTCAGAGAAGCTGTACTGCTATACTCTTGGCATTGATAATTTTGGATGATGCTGATATGTATTTTGTGGGACTTAGGATTTTAGATATTATTTGAGAAGGGGCAGGAATCTATATGCTGTTATGTATTACCTTGAAATTTGATGGTTTCATTTGCTGTTTTCCCTTTCAGCCTTGTCCCCTGCCCCATGTCCCACCAGATAAGTTGCTCTGGCTATCATGAAGCTTACGTCAGATATTAAGAGTGAAGGAGCACCCTGGATAGATGAGAGGTGATGGGCTCATAGAGTGAAGGGGCACTAGGCGAAGACCTTGATTTTAGTGCTGTCCTTAGGAGTTCTAAAGCAAAGATAGCTGTGTGAGTGGGTAGGAATACCTTACTTCTGCATTACTAAGAACAGTTCCTCAATGTGAATCACTGTCTCCAGACCTGGGGACATGTTATTTTCGTAAGCTCGCATCTCAGCCAGAAAGAAACTTGTTAGAGCTCAGGGTAACATGTCTTATACCTGGATTTTCCTTTAATATTTACTGAGCACTCTGGAGCAGTGACTCCCATTTTTTAAAATTTCAGGATGCTCCAGTGAAGTTGTGTGACTTTGGATTTGCCAAAATTGACCAAGGTGACTTGATGACACCCCAGTTCACCCCTTATTATGTAGCACCGCAGGTAAGTATGTGCTGTTTCTGTCCTAAGATCTGTCTCCCAGCTGCTCATAGACTCATGTTCCTTCTATTCTACAGCATAAGTAAGCATATAGTACAGATGAGATGGGGAGAACTTAGCTTTAGAGACCTATAGATTACTTTATTTAATGTAGACCTTTTATTCTTTTAAAATCGACTTTATTGAGGTATGATTTAGAAGTATGATTTACATACAGTAAAATACCTCTACTTCAAGAAGAGTTTGATGAGTTGTGACAAATATATACCCACTATGACAACCACCACAATGAAGATGCAGAACATGTCCTTCACTTCACAAGGTGCCTGTGCCACTTTGCAGTCAGTCCCCTCCCAACTTAACCCCTGGACCTAGGCAACCACTGACCTGCTTTCTGTTGTTATTGGTTAGTTTTGCCTGTTGAAGAATTTCATAAAAATGTAATCATGGACTTTGTATGTTTCATTTCTTTTTCTTAGCATGTTTTTGAGATTCATCCATGTTCCTGCATTTATCACTCATTACTTCCTTTTCATTGCCAAGTAGTATTCCATTATTTACCTAAGGCACATTTGTTTTTTCCATTCACTGACTGACAGGATTTGGGGTTGTTCTTCATTTTTGGCTATTATGAAGAAAACTGCTAGGAACACTCATTTACAGTTTTTGGGGGACACGTTCCCCCACGGCTGTATCTTTTTTCCAAAATGGTTGTGCCATTTTATGCTTCTAGCAGCAATGTATAGTGTTCCAGTTGTTTCACATTTTTACTAACGCCTCATGCTCTTCACTTGTCAGCATTTGTCATCTTAGCCATTCTGATGGGAGCAGAGTATTACTTCATTATGGTTTTAATCACAACATTTTCCTGATGGTGACTGTTTTGGAGCACTTTTTGTACATCTTTATTAGCCATTCTGTTGAGAAGTATGGATATTCCTCTTTTGCCCTTTTGTTATTGTTGGTTTCTCATTAAAGAATTTGAGTTGTAAGAATTTTTAAATATTCTGGACATGTTCTTTGCCATGTGTATGTTGTATTCTTACTGCTGCTGTAACATATTGCCACAAACTTAGTAGCTAAAAATAATAGAAATTTATTATCTTATACTTCTGGAGATGAGAAGTCTGAAATGGTACTCAGTGCTATAATCAAGGTGGCAGCAGGACTGTGTTCCTTCTGGAGGCTCTAGGGGAGAATCCATTTCCTGCCTCTTCCAGCTTCTAGAGGCTGCCTACATTATTTGGCTTGTAGCCTCTTCCTTCATCATCAAAGCCAGTAGTATAGCATCTTCCAATGTCTCTCTCTATGACTTTGACCTTCTTGCCTGCCTCTTGTAGGGACCCTACTGATCACACTGGCCTTACCTGGATAACTCCCCATTTCAAGATTCTTAATTCTTCTGCAATACAGGGTAACATAATCCCAGGGATGACAACATGGACATCTTGGGGGGCCCATTATTGTGCCTTCCATATATATATGTATGTATGTATGTAATATTTCTTGCAGCCTGTGACTTGCCTTTTAATTTTCTTTTTTTTTTTTTTTGAGACGGAGTTTCCCTGTTGTTACCCAGACTGGAGTGCAATGGAATGATCTTGGCTCACTGCAACCTCTGCCTTCTGGGTTCAAGCAATTCTCCTGCCTCAGCCTCCTGAGTAGCTGGGACTACAGGCGTGCACCACCATGCCCAGCTAATTTTTGTATTTTTAGTAGAGACGGGGTTTCACCTTGTTGACCAGGATGGTCTCGATCTCTTGACCTTGTGATCTACCCGCCTCGGCCTCCCAAAGTGCTGGGATTATAGGCGTGAGCCACCGCGCCCGGCCTGCCTTTTAGTTTTCTTAATGGCCTTTGAATAGCAGAAGTTTTGAATTTTAATTTTCTTTTTTTTTTTTTGAGATGGAGTTTCGCTCTTGTTACCCAGGCTGGAGTGCAATGGCGCTTTCTGGGCTCACTGCAATCTCTGCCTCCTGGGCGTGAGCCACCGTGCCCGGCCAGTTTTGAACTTTAATCAAGTTTATTTCACCATTTTTTTTAATGCTTAGTACTTTTTGTTCCTAAGATCCATGGGCATAAATATTTTCTCTGATGTTTTCTTATAAGAGGTTATAGCTTTAGCTTGTACATTTGGGTCTGTAATTCATTTCAGTTTGTGTGTGTATGAAATGAGAGACCAGGTTCTTTTTTTCCCCCTTAGGGATGTCAAGTTGTTGCAGCATCATTTGTAAAAGGACTGTCCTTGCATCATTGAATCCCCTTGCAGTTTTGTTGAAAACCAGTTGGCTATATATCTGTTGGTCATTTCAGGATTCTGTTCTGTTTAATATATGTGTCTACAGCAAGAGCATCTGAATTATTTTAGCTTTTTTTTTAAGACGGAATCTTGCTTTGTTGCCCAGGCTGGAGTGCAGTGATGCAGTCTTGGATCACTACAACCTCCCGCCCCTGGGTTGAAGCAGTTCTCCTACCTTAGCCTACCTAGTATCTGGGATTACTGGTACACACCACCACACCTGGCTAATTTTTTTATTTTAGAGGAGGGGTTTTGCATGCCAGCTGGGCTGGTCTTGAACTCCTGACCTCAAGTGATCTGCCTGCCTTGGCCTCCCAAAGTGCTGGGATTACAGGCATGAGCCACTGCGCCTGGCCTATTATAGCTTTATATTAAGTCTTGACTTCAGATTTATTCATTTTCAAAATTGTTTTGGCTATTCTAGATCCTTTGCATTTCTCTACATTTTAGAATTCACTTCTCTATAACAGAAAAGCCTCCTGGGGTTTGACTGGGATTGTGTTTAATCTATAGATGAATTTGGAGAGAACTGATACCTTAACGATACAGAAATCTCCCAACTGATGAACAAGGTATAGAGCTTTCCATTTATTTAGGTCTTTAATTTTTCTCAAAAATGTTTGTACTTTTTAACATTATAGGTTTTGCAAATATTTTCTTAAATTTATCCTTAAATTTTGTTTTTGGATGCTATTACAAATGATATTTTAAAAGCTTTTTGCTGGGCTTGGTGGCTCTGCCTATAATCCCAGCACCTTGGGAGGCTGAGGTGGGCGGATCACCTGAAGCCAGGAGTTCGAGACCAGTCTGGCCAACAGGGTAAAACCCCATCTCTACCAAAAATGTAAAAATTAGCTGGGCTTGGTGGCAGGTGCCTGTAATTCCAGTTACTCGGGAGGCTGAGGCAGGAGAATTGCTTGAACCCGGGAGGTGGAGGTTGCAGTGAGCCAAGATCACACCACTGCACTCCAGCCTGGGCAGCAAAGAGCAATATTCTGTCTAAAAAAAGAAATTCATTTTTTGACTGTAACTAGTTTACAGAAATACTAGTGATTTATTTTTATTTTTATTTTTTGAGAGCCTAAATGTGGGACATGTCTCTTCTGTTGCTCAGCCTTTAGTGCAGGGATTGGGTTAAATCAGTCTACTCAAAAGTTGAGCTGAATTTGAGTTTTGTTGTTGCTATGGTTGTCTTCAGTACCCCACTGGCATGGGATTCCTGTCCTGTTACCTTATGGTTAGGTGGGGTCTGGGATGCCATTTTTTTTTTAATGGGTGTTTTTAAAAAATATTCCACTTAAGTGCACCTGTACCTCAAAATACCTCAAAGAGGATCTCTCTTTACAGTCTTGGCCCCCACTTAGCAGTAGATTGCTGTCAGTTACTGCTTGGTGCCTGCAAGCCTGTGGAAAGGGAGAAGACAGTGAGGGACCAGGAGGTATCTCTGTTTCTCTGCTGTTGGGCAGGACCTGTGTTCTTGAGTCGTGAATATCTGATGAAAGTCTGTGCAGAAGAGCATGGGAGTAGACATGAATCTTCCTTGTTTCTATGGCTCCTAGAGGGCCCATACTCTCATCCTAGCCCACACTTTGCCTTTAGCAGTTTGTTAAAAACATAGCTGAATTCTTTTCACCCAAATGATATGTGATATCACTTCCTCCAGGGCTCTGCCATAGGGGAGCCAGCATTCACTCCCCATTCTCTCCTTGGAAGGGCCTGACTTAAAGATTTCAGAATAATTGGTTGCCCTGAGACCTGATCCTTGATGGGTTAAAAAAAAAAGTAATGATTTTATAATTTATCTTTGACACTTTCCAGCTTTCTCTATCCTAGACAGAGGCAGAAGTCCCAATAGTTTGGGTTGGAGGAGGGTGAGGATCAAAAAACTACCTGCTGGGTACTATGCTTAGTAACCTGGACGATGAAATAATCCTTACACCAAACCCCTGTGACACCACTGCAGTTCACCTATATAATCAACCTGCACATGTACCCCTAAACCTAAAATAAGTTGTTTTTTTTGAGACTGAGTTTCGCTCTTGTTACCCAGGCTGGAGTGCAATGGCGCAATCTTGGTTCACCGCAACGTCTGCCTCCTGGGTTCACGCAATTCTCCTGCCTCAGCCTCCTGAGTAGCTGGGATTACAGGCACGCGCCACCATGCCCAGCTAATTTTTGTATTTTTAGTAGAGATGGGGTTTCACCATGTTGACCAGGATGGTCTCGATCTCTTGACCTTGTGATCCACCCCCCTCAGCCTCCCAAAGTGCTGGGATTACAGGCGTGTTTTTTTTTTTTAGATGGAGTTTTGCTCTTGTCGCCTAGGCTGGAGTGCAGTGGTGCAATCTTGGCCCACTGCAACCTCTGTCTCCCGGGTTCAAGTGATTCTCCTATCTCAGCCTCCCAAGTAGCTGAGATTACAGGCGCCCACCACCACACCCTGCTAATTTTTTGTATTTTTAGTAGAGATGGGGTTTTGCCATGTTGGGTAGGCTGATCTCAAACTCCTGACCTCGTGATCCGCCCACCTTGGCCCCTTAAAGTGCTGGGATTACAGACGTGAGCCACTGAGCCCAGTTTGTTGCTCTAATTTTTTTTTTTTTTAGACGGAGTCTCACTCTGTCGCCAGGCTGGAATGCAGTGGCATGATTTCAGCTCACTGCATCCTCTGCCTCCCAGGTCCAAGTGCTTCTCCTGCCTCAGCCCTCTGAGTAGCTGGAACTACAGGTGTGCACCACCATGCCCAGCTAATTTTTGTATTTTTAGTAGAGTTGGGGTTTCCCCATGTTGGACAGGCTGGTCTGGATCTCTTGACCTCATGATCCGCCTGCCTTGGCCTCCCATAGTGTTGGGATTACAGGCATGAGCTACCACACCTGGCTCGTGTTTTTATCTTTTAAGCCCCACCCTCAGAAGCAGCCGTTAATGAAGAAGCTGTCTTTTCTCTGCAGCATTGCTTTTGAGCCTTCATCAAAAAATCATTGAACATATATTTTTACACTCGTTCTGTTCCATTGATCTCTTTTTCTCTCTTTACCCCAATAACAGATTTTGATGATTACTACAGCTTGAATTCCCTAATGAGTAATGATGTCTACCATCTTTTCTTTTGTGTGCACAAAAGAAATTAATACAGATTAATAATATAAGTTAATACAAATTAATAATTCTTGAAATCAGGTAGTGTTGGTCCTCTACTTTTGTTCTTCATTTTCAAAGTTGTTTTTGCTATTCTGACTTATTTGCATTTCCATGTAAACTTTACAGTCAGCTGTTGATTTCTATAAAAAACTACTGGGAGTTTTGACTGGGGTTGTTTTAGAGCTGTCATTCAATTTGGGGGTGCTAAGATTTTAGTGATATTGAGCCTTCTGACCTATAAGCAAGCTGTATTGCTCCATTGATGTGTGCCTTATGTAGTCAGTTTATAGGTCTCTCACTTCTTTGTGAGATTTATTCTTAATGTTTAATATTTTTTCTGCTGTTGTGAATGGTGTTTTATTTTTCAGGTTTAATTCATTCACTTTGCTGTTCTTGTGTAAAAACTTTATGGGGTGCTCACAGTTGGAGCCCAGCTCCTCTGCATGGAGACTGTGGTGTAGGTTTTTATAAGATGGTCATTGAATTTCTGTTAGGTAAGATAGCTGCAGGTCTTAGAGATGGCATTGAAGGTGGCCTTTGCAAAGTTGCCCAAGGTGGCATTGCAGCCCCCAGCTAAGCTGGAGCAGTTGTATCTTCCATCCATGCAGCTTCATGGGCACAGGGGCCGAGACAGTATCAAGTAGGTCTGGGTGTGGGATGAAGTGCCCTAGCACAGAGCCTCACCATCCTGTCACCTTTCAAGGAACAGTGTGGGGTTGCTAATGTGCCCCACTCTGAAGTCCCTCCTCATGGGACATTGGAGAGGTTGGCCAGGATGATGGTCCCACAGTGGCAGTGGCTACCTCCTTGGAGCACTGAACACCTAGACTGATGTGACTGTTGTAGTCCCTGATGGTGACAGATGCCTTGAAGCTGATCAGGACAGTTCAGGTCTGCTTTTGCACAGGTGTAAGGGATATCCCCAGGAAAAAGTCAGTGTTCTCAGACTGCTTGATGGGCAGGAATAAGAGAGGAATCTTCTCTAGGAACTTCATCTTCATGTCCTTGTCCTGGCTGATGGATAAATTACTGGTTTTAAGAAAAAAAGTTTTTGGAAGTGTAGTGTTTATGTGGAGTTGTTTGTTTTTTTTTTTTTTGATGGCTGATTGCCAGTTGTCTACCTTCTTCAGTCTTATAGTAGCCTGTCTCAAGGCAGGTTATCGGTGGTATGATTTTCAGTAAATGGTCCCCTTTGGTCTGACTCTTGACAGGTACTGGAGGCGCAAAGAAGGCATCAGAAGGAGAAATCTGGCATCATACCTACCTCACCGACGCCCTACACTTATAACAAGGTACGGGAAGAGACATTTCTCTTCATTAAGCAGATGCAACCTCTCCTCTTTAGTGAGGTGTTTGTGGCCTTCTAGGATTGTGGCCAATTCCATTCTCACCTCTTGATTTTCGTGCCCCAAGGAAGCAGCCAGACTGAGAAAAGTATTTGGAATTCAAGTTGTTGTTTGATGAGATACAAAATAAGGTTTGAACCCATTTTGCTTTTGCAGCAGTAATTAGGGGCTGTGTTCACCTGTCAGGTTATTTTTTTGACTGTCCGTACAATCTACTGGACACACTGAAAAGATGTGGTTGGCTTGTGTTTTGAGGGGGAGGCCATTTCTGAGACACAGAAGCTAGACACAGACCACTTTGTGGTCATTTATGGTACTATTGTTTCTTACTTCATAAAATACCCAATGTAGAACAGTATCCGATACATATAGCAAGGGCTCCTAAATGTTACTTGGTACTATTATGGTTCTTAAACTGTAGCCCACATTTTTTTCTTGGGATAGAGTCTCGCTCTGTTGCCCAGACTGGAGTACAGTGGCTCACTGAAACCTCCACCTCCTGTGCTCAAGTGATTCTCCTGCCTCAGCCTCCCAAGTAGCTGAGATTACAGGCTCACGCCACCACACTTGGCTAATTTTTGTATTTTTAGTAGAGATGGGGTTTCTCCATGTTGGCCAAGGTGGTCTCAAACTCCTGACCTCAAGTGATCCACCTGCCTCAGCCTCCCAAAGTACTGGGATTAGAGATGTGAGCCACTGCGCCTGGCCTGTGGCCCATATATTGATCCTATTTTTTCTTTCTTTTTTTTTTTCTTGAGACAGTCTTGCTTTGTCACCTAGGTGGGAGTGCAATAGTGTGATCTTGGCTCACTGTAACTTCCTTCTCCCGAGTTCAGACAATTCTCCTGCTGTACGTAGTCTCCAAAGTAGCTGGGATTACAGGCACCTGCCACCGTGCCTGGCTTATTTTTTGTATTTTTAGTAGAGATTGGGTTTTGCCCTGTTGGCCAGGCTGGTGTCAAAGTCCTGACCTCAGGTGACCCACCCGCCTCCCAATCTCATAATCTCAGCCTCCCAAAGTGCTGGGATTATGAGCATGACCCACTGCACTCACCTGATCCTGTCTATTCTAAAGCACGAGAGGTTTAGGGCCTCTTGAAACAGGCCCTGGAGTCACTGAGTAAGGAGATCAGAAAAAAAATGATGCTACTTGGGGACTTGAGGCTAGGTATAGATGACAGAGAAGGGCCTGAGAATGGTAAAAAGGCAGTAGGCTGGGACACTTGCTGTGGCTCCACTCCTCTTTATGTGACATTGTTGAGGTCACTTTGTTTCACTCTTGACAGAAGACCTAAGAGATGACATGATATCTGCAGTATTAGTTTCCTTTCTGGAAAGTGAGGGATTGAAGGTCCCTTTACACCCCTGTAATTTTATACTGTAATTCTGTTCTACAGCATGAGTTATGTCATCCACAAATATCTACTAGTATAATGTGAAAACATGGGCAGGCCAGGTGCGGTGGCTCACACCTGTAATCCCAGCACCTGGGGAGGCCAAGGCAGGCGGATCATGAGGTCAGAGTTCGAGACCAGCCTGGCCAACATGGTGAAACCCTGTCTCTACTAAAAATACAAAACATTAGCTGGGCGTGGTGGTGTGTGTCTGTAATCCCAGTTACTCGGGAGGCTGAGGCACGAGAATCACTTGAACCGGGGAGGAGGAGGTTGTAATGAGCCAAGATCGCGCCACTGCACTCCAGCCTGGCAACAGAGCGAGATGCTGTCTCAAAAAAAAAAAAGAAAGAGAACATGGGTGAGAGTAGCTGAGATCCCCGTTATCCAGCCTTTGCTCAAAGTAGCACGCAGCTGTGATGTGAGGGGTTGCGTGGCCCCGGTGGCAGGCTCACTTCTCAGAGCAGCACACAGCTGTGGTGTGAGGGAGTGGCAGGCTCACTGGGCTGCTATGTTAGGCAGACACCTCTTTTATCTCATCGTTCAAGAAAGGTTGAATTGAAGCCTCTGCAGACCCGGTTTTCAAAGCAAATAGAACTGCATTTAACCGAAATAGGAGTCCTTTCTTTATGCAGTGATTATAGGCCATGGAGTCACCTCACTGCCTGCAGACATGGTAGTTGGTAGCAGTCTTGTTTTTTTCACAGTATCTTCCCCCAGAATGGTGTAAGAGCTGCAAATGGACTTAGTGAGTCCTTCATGGTCGAAGGAATGCATTTAGATCTTCTGTTCTTCCCTCCAGTCCTCTCCATGGTCTGTATCAAACTGCTCTGGGCCTTTACGAAGTGGCCTGTGCTATATTGTAGGTGAGCCTACCAGTGTCTTAGTTGCTTCGTTTCTACATGTAGGTTTCACAACCAGCTGGTTTGTATCTATTACTTTTCTGGCTGGGGCAAAGCATCCTATACCTGTACACAAGGATCAGATAGACGCTTGGGCCTGAAGAGTGAGAATGAAAGTACCTGTTTATTTCATCCCAGGCTGGCTTTGTATGATGGGGTGCATGTGTGTAGTATTGGTAGCTTATTGAAAATATGGAGAGAAAGGCTAGTTCTCTTAAGACTTCCTTCAGCTTTCCTTATTTGTTAAGTGACTTTAGGTGATAGCAGCCTGTATATTGCAGGGGTTATTTCTGGGCCTGTCATGGAGGCTTTATTTGGGGGCTCTGCTTCTGCTGTGAGTGACCATTTTCTTTTTTGTTTTCAGAGCTGTGACTTGTGGTCCCTAGGGGTGATTATCTATGTGATGCTGTGCGGATATCCTCCTTTTTACTCCAAACACCACAGCCGGACTATCCCAAAGGATATGCGGAGAAAGATCATGACAGGAAGTTTTGAGTTCCCAGAGGAAGAGTGGAGTCAGATCTCAGAGATGGCCAAAGATGTTGTAAGGAAGTGAGTTTGCGGGCTGCTGGGCAGCGAGGCTGAGGAAACCTCCAGGTGGTGGAGCTCAAGGGAATGTGGGTGGAGAAAAGTCATTGGTTTCCCAGGCAGGCTCCTTCCCGTTTTAATATCACAGAAATCTCTCTGGAGCCTGAGATGACCGTTATCAGTGTGTACACCTCGGTGGGAACGAAGCTTTCCTCCCTCCTGTTGCATCCCTAGACTTTGTCCCCAGGGTGTGAACCCAGGTCCCTCTGTAGCCAGTCTCTGCACATTAATTCAAGACCCTAAATTAGAAACCTGGTGTGCTCTCTCCTTCTTGCATGTGAGCTGGAACGTCATTTGGGACACACAATGCCAGGAAGTGAACTAGGTGCTGAGATGACACCACATTCGTTTTTCATTCCTTGGATGCTGTGGGCATATGGGTTTGTCAGGCCTGGATCCCACCCTTTACCGTCCCGTGGCCAGTTGGTTGCTCTGACGTATCCTTTTTTTTTTTTTTTTTTGAGACAGAATCTTGCTCTGTTGCCCAGGCGAGAGTGCAGTGGCTCAACCTTGGCTTACTGCAACTTCCACCTCCTGGGTTCACGTGATTCTGCTGCCTCAGTCTCCCAAGTGGCTGGGATTACAGGCATGAGCCACCACACACAGCTGCTCTGACGTATCTTAAGATGGGAAGATTTAGTAAGAATTATGGCTAGTGAAAATAAGAAAAATAAAAAAGCCAAAAACAGAAAAGAATTATGGCTGGTGAGTAGATGAGGGAGAGTTGACGTTCAGAGTCCTTTGGTAGCTGGAGGGCTAGGTAAGATGTCATTCCTAAATTGGAATATATTTGTTTTTCCACCCACATGTGTGGGAGGCTTGGTTGCCCATGGCCTTAGGCACTGCACCTGTCTTCCTACTGCTGGGGCTTCACTGAGAATTGTCTCCTTTGTTGGTCAGTTTCTTCCTCTGTGATGGGATGAAGGTGCCTGTTTAGGGCAGTACCTGGAAGCTGTCTTCTGACAGTATTGCCATTTCTCCATACTCCCTTTGAGAAGGGAGCTTATCCTGTTGATTGGAGGGTGAGGGGGTGGGAGCAGGTTCTGTGTGCTATAAAGAGAGGGACTGTTTTCTAAAAGAGAAAAGTAAAAGATTTTTAGGAATGTGGGTGCAATGATTAAATCACCATCTGTCCTCACATACTGTTTCCTTGCTGTATTCCCAGCTATTTGACCAAAACCTCAATGCCCTGGAAGTAGTTCTTTGCCAGTTTTCTGTAGAATACATTTCCCATCTGTAGAGCAACACTGATTATCTTTTTGGTTTTTGGATTTTCCAAATAATCCTTTCTTTAGAATCTGAAGCCATCTGCCGTCTGTTCAGAATGATCCAGAAGAAGGTTGCAGACAAGCTGAGGAGCAGTTAGGCATGTTGTCCTGACATTTGTAATGAGAGGAGATAGAGTTGGAAGGAGGGAACGTGCTGAGAAGAGCTAGGAACCGCATCCGCGGGAATGAATCAGATGGAAAGAAGCATGATCTGAAGGCAGATGGCACAGAAGTAGCACTCTGGGCTTAGAAGGAAATGCCATCCCCGCCTCAGAGACTCTAGGTTTTTAAAAGCTTTTAAATGTCTCTGGAATAATGGGTTGATGTCCTGCCATATGGTGACATCTAAGAGTTTTATCAAGTGTAGCAACCTGCTTTTCCAGAGCCTCATGACTCTTCAACTAATTTTGCAGCCACCATCAGACAAAAGAATGTTCCTTTTGGAAGTTAGAGCCCATTGTCCTAGAAATCTCAGTATGGAGATTCAAGGTCTCAGGAACTGTAAGCCGTATGTAGGATTATCTTAGTAAACCCTAGAACTCAGAAGTACGACTGGATTAAGCCCTTTTCTACCATTTTAATCTCACTTTTTCCAGTATAGAAAGGACTGCCTCAAGCCATAGTACCCCTGGAAGTGGCTGGAGACTAGAATCCCCCATGTGCTCTGCAGGTAGAAAGCCCAGGCTTGCAGAAGTCAGTGGGAAGTCAGAAGCAGCCAGAGCTGTTTAGAGGCAGGCCCAGGAACTTCCTATGGCCTCTTGGTAGTAGCAGCTGTGCGTGGCAGCCCTGTTGCCGTTTTCTCCACAGGCTCCTGAAGGTCAAACCGGAGGAGAGACTCACCATCGAAGGAGTGCTGGACCATCCCTGGCTCAATTCCACTGAGGCCCTGGATAATGTGCTGCCTTCTGCTCAGCTGATGATGGACAAGGTTTTGAATGATGCTTATTTATTGGCTGAAAAGGCTGTGTTGGGAAGGAATGCTGGGGCTTGACTTAGTGAGGGGCTAAAGACAAAACAGTGCACAGGACACAATCCTTCCCAAAGAAACATCTCTGGTTTCCTGAGAGTCAGGATCCAAAATAAGGAACTTCTTTTGGTAAAAGACCAAATAAAGGCCTGGTAAATATGCACTAAGGGAGCACTCAAAGGAATAGCCTCCATATTTCTGCAACGGGGCTGGGGGCACAGAACAGGTTAAGATACCCTCCCTTTTCCCGAGGCTTTAAACAAGACTGACTGGGAAGGCAAGGCCAATAAACATGAAACAGAGGGAACATTTCAAACATCAGAGCTTTGCATGTTAAATTTTCTGTGAATGCTGTGGGAATTCAGAAAAAGAGCACATCTTTGAAGGGATGTAATTTGCCCAAAGGTTCCCTCACACGTATTAACTGTCTATTATGTGGCAGCATTTGAGCTCTTTCTCGTGTTCAGGCATGCGCTGTCCTTGAAGAATTTGAGTAGGCAGTGTAAATGCCCATGTACGGTAAACAACATAAGCAAAAAAACCGAGATCCAAATACATCATTGGGAAAAACAACTTGGCCTCGCTAATGGGAAGTTAATGAGATGGGTGTGACAGGGCCAGCCTTTGCAAGTGGACAGAGGGATTTAAGTCTTAGTGGGATGCAACTGAGAGGTCATGATAGCTTTTTGAGATTTGCCACTAGGAAGGTATTTAGAGATGGCCAGTCACACTTGGCAACTTGCGGATTTGCCAACCTAATACTTCTGCAGTAATCTAGAAGCTGGGGGTGGCTATGGGAGCAGAGAAGTAGAGGTTAATGAATAGGCTAAATGTTTTTCAAAAAAAATTCTGCAGTTTTTGGTGACAGACTAGATATAAGGGGACAGGAGTGGCATAACTGGTGATAACATTGACAAATTAGGAAGGAGGCTGCTTTGGGTGAGAGGAAGTCTCTTAGGGTTTAGAGATTGAGGTGGCAGAGGAACATTCAAATGAATGAGATGTATAGGGTGGGACCATAGTGTGGCTGGGAGCTCAAAGCAATGACAGAGACTTGAGTGTTAACATCTTGAAGGGGTAGGGTGGAAGTGTTAGAAGTCTCTTCAGCTGGAGCATGGAAGGAAAAGAAGAACTGGAAAGTACAGTTCTCTGCCTTCTTTTTGATTTGTAGGTAGTTGTCTTCCTGTAGTACAGAAACGGTTTGGTCATTGCAAAGTCCAAAGGGATTATTTAGATCCTGGTTGTCAGCACATAGAGGTTACAGTGTGGCACTCCTCAAGATCTTAAAAATGAGGAGATAAGGCCAGGCTTGGTGGCTCTCGCCTATAATCCCAGCACTTTGGGAGGCTGAGGTGGGCGGATCACTTGAGGTCAAGAATTCAAGACCAGCCTGGCCAAAATGGGGAAACGTCATCTCTACTGAAAAATGAGCCGGGTATGGTGGCAAACACCTGTAATCTCAGCTACTCCGGAGGCTGAGGCAGGAGAATTGCTTGAGCCCAGGAGGCAGAGTTTGCAGTGAGCCGAGATCTACCACTGCACACCAGCCTGGGCAACAGAACGAGACTGTCTTAAAAAAAGTGGTGAGGATGTGAATGGTCAACTTTGGAAGTATGGAACACTCTCCACCCAAGCCCTGTCTAGGAGCCTGAGCGCATGACCTTGAGCTGTTTCCTTCTTCAGCCAGGCTGTTACTGATTAAATGGATGTGAAGATGCAGAAAGGCATAGCTAATACAGAGCCCATCAGTGAGTTCCAGCTTTTCCTGATCTAATGTCATGCACACCATAGAACTACTGTTGTTGTTGTTTTTTTTGAGATGGGAGTTTACTCTTGTTTCCCAGGCTGGAGTACAATGGTGTGATCTTGGCTCACTGTAACCTCCGCTTCCCAGGCTCAAGCCATTCTCCTGCCTCAGCCTCCTGAGTAGCTGAGATTACAGGTGTGTGCCACCACACCCGGATAATTTTGTAATTTTAGTAGAGATGGGTTGGTCAGGCTGGTCCCGAACTCCTGCTATCAGGTGTCCTGCCCACCTTGGCCTCCCAAAATGCTGGGACTATAGGTGTAACTACTTTTAAAAGTTGTCAAATTTTGGCCAGGCTTAGTGACTCATACCTGTAATCCCAGCACTTTGGGAGACTGAGGTGGGTGGATCACTTGAGGTCAAGAATTCGAGACCAGCCTGGCCAATATGGTGAAACCCTGTCTCTACTAAAAATACAAAAATTAGCTGGGCGTGGTGGCACATGCCTGTAATCCCAGCTACTCGGGAGGTTGAAGCAGGAGAATTGCTTGAACCTGGGAGCAAAGGTTGCAATGAGTCAAGATTGCACCACTGCACTCCAGCCCCTGGGAGACAGAGCAAGACTCCATCTCAAAAAAAAAAGAAAACATTTGCAAATTTTGTTTTGAAAATTCAGATGATACAGTGGTATTAAAAGAAAAAGTAAAATTTCCCTTTCATTCCCCTGCCACAGTCTCAGCCCTCAGAGGTGAGGTAATCTGTGGCTTAATGTATACTTTCTGATCATTTTCTGGGATACGCACACACATATACAGTTTGTCCTTCTTTTAAAATACAAAAATGGGATCATATTCCTATGAAGCCTTCTGTTGATTTGGTCTGCCCATAATGAGAGCATACAGTGTTCATAAAAGCACAAACTTCAAGAGTTCGACTCCATGACAGCTATTTCTCACTGTAAATTACTTGACTGGCTGTGGCCTTGACAATGTGGCCACAGGCTTGGCCATGCCCACCATGTGAGATGGTGAATCAGTCCCGTCTGTAAGGCTTCTTGGGCAGCAGCCTGCCAGCCTTTCTGCTGATGTCCATATGTGCCTCTCTTTACGCTTCCGATCAGCAGTGGCTGTGAGTGGGGGTCCTGCTGGTATTTCTTACTTGCATTTCTGTCTCCCGACCAGGGAAGAAAGGCTAGCTGTTGTGGGACCTTTGGTTGGCCTGGTGTTCCCTGGTTCCTGCTGATCCATGCGGAAGAGTCCTCCGCCTTATCAAAATATTTATATTCCTTCAGTATAAGAGTGAAATTGCCTTCTTAGTACCTTGAGCTTTTCCTTTCCACTTTCTTAGACTGGCTTTTTAGGTGCCCAGCAATGAATATGAAAAACTGACGGCAGTGTTTGCATTCAGGCAGTGGTTGCAGGAATCCAGCAGGCACATGCGGAACAGTTGGCCAACATGAGAATTCAGGATCTGAAAGTCAGCCTCAAACCCCTGCACTCAGTGAACAACCCCATTCTGCGGAAGAGGAAGTTACTTGGGTAACTGAGCTTATTTCTTTGATTCTTCATGGCTAGAATGGCTAAGTACTGGGTTCTGAAATTTAAGAAATTTAACTTGCTCGGCCAAGGGTCTCCCTTTCTTTGGCCTCTCAAGAGGGTGGAGAGGATAAGCTCTTTAAATAGAATCAGGAGTTGGACATACTCTATCATTATTTTGCTGAAATACGTTGCCTTATGTTTAGAGTTAATATCTGTCCAGAGTTGGCTTTTGGGGTCTCATGTTGTCATTACCTCTCCCTCAAACTCTTAAAGCACCAAGCCAAAGGACAGTGTCTATATCCACGACCATGAGAATGGAGCTGAGGATTCCAATGTTGCTTTGGAAAAACTCCGAGATGTGATTGCTCAGTGTATTCTACCCCAGGCTGGTAAAGGTCACACCATTTACTAATCCTCTGTGTGCAGGGGAGGTGGGGTGGAGAGAGGGTGGGGGAGGCGTATGCATGCACATGGCAAAAGGAATGGTTTAATTCTGGGTTGTTTCATCTTGTGTTATAAGAAAAGTACATTATATAAGGTCGTCTGTGCCCACTAGATTGAACAGTGGGAGCTCAGAAATGCAGTTAAGTTCTACCCCTCCTTTGGTTGTCTGTGAAATTTTTAGTTTAGACTTAATTGGCAGTGTCAGGGGCAAGCATGCATTTTGTGTTTTCTTAGTTTTACAACAAGGGCACAAGTTGGGGGATGGAGAATGGAAAGTATGGGTAGGGTCTGAATCTCTTTGCAGGCTGTTCAGTATTTCTAGAGCCTTTAGAGTGCAAGGCTGCCATTAACTCATAAATATGAGAACACCTCCCTAGTTGAGAAGCAGCTCCTGCTGCTACTCTTATCATGGGCAGAGTGACTTACATGTGGGTCCTTTGGAGTGAAAGCTTTATTTCATTATATTCTCTCTCCACTCAACAGGATGTGAGGGGCTATTCTCATCAGATGAATGAGATACTTCACGTATTAGGCCAGAAAACGGTTGAGTTGACCTATCTGTCTCCCTAGATTCCTTGGGTTTTAAGAGAACTCATGTAGTGTCCATCAGATAGCTTTCTAAAGTAAGAAATGAGCTTAGGAGAAAGAAGGTAGCCCACTCTCCCACTTTTGGTCTTCAGTTGACCAGGTGTCTTCTGTTCAGCAGTAGGGTCTGCCATAGCCTGTTTCCCATCCCCCAGTGATAAGACTCTGGGGCCATCAGAGGATTTGTATGAGGATGTCACAGTAAAAGAGTCCAAATACCAGATGTGGTCTACATAATATAGGGACTAGCAGTAAAGCGCTTGTCCGGTGAAGTTTTGCAAACTCAGTCATTATTTTTCAACCAGTTGGACATCACGTCCTTCCATCTCTCACACTAAAACCCCATGATGCTGCAGGAAAAATGCAACTTCCTCTTCATCCTTACCAATAGGAGAGAATGAAGATGAGAAACTGAATGAAGTAATGCAGGAGGCTTGGAAGTATAACCGGGAATGCAAACTCCTAAGAGATACCCTGCAAAGCTTCAGCTGGAATGGTAGGAGCCTTCATCACTCCCTTTCCCCGGAATGCAGACAAGTCATTATGTTTAGAACATTGTTGTAGGATCTCTTCCGGGCCTGAGCTGCGGCTGTCTGGAAGTGAAGTGAGGCTGGCTAGAGAGTGAGTGGAGCATTGTGGAATGCCGGTTAGCTCTACATTAACTGCCAGGCATATCTGGATGTCTGGCCCTTTCACTTATTTTCCAGAGTTCAAGTGAATTGTGTGTTGCAGATTCAACACTGCAAAGCCCCCATCACACACTGCCTGGGTTAAAAAACCCAGATTTCAGAACTCCCAGATACCTGGACTGTTCACCAGGTCATTAAGGAGCAACACATGCTGAAGGGGATAAAGAGGACAAAGTGCCAGCGGGTCCACCCTGCTGATCTGCTTAGCTTAGAGAAAAGCTGTTTCACCAAAGAGGAGAAAGTTTGCCAAATCTGCTGGTTAAGTTTTTTCCCCCAGGCAAGCAAATAAGGTAGAGATGTATTTCTTGAACTGACTTTTTTTTTTTGAGATGGAGTTTCACTCTATCCCCCAGGTTAGAGTGCAGTGGCATAATCTTGGCTCACAGCAACCTCCACTTCCTGGGCTCAAGCGATTCTCCTGCCTCATCCTCCCAAGGAGCTGGGACTACAGGTGCACACCACCCATGCCCAGCTGGTTTTTGTATTTTTGTTTAGTAGAGATGGGGTTTCACCATTCTGGCCAGGCTGGTCTTTAACTCCTGACCTCAAGTGATCCACCCACCTCGGCCTCCAAACGTCTTGGGATTACAGGCATGAGCCACTGTGCTCGGCCTGCCTCACTTGTTTCGTAGACATGCCATAAGAAATCTAAAGTTCTAGCCTGGCCATTCGTATACTTGGAGGAGACTCACTTCCCTGGGATTTTTTTTTTTAAGAAAAACTTGAAATGTCATTTTAGAAAAGTGATCACATACAAATTATGGACTTCAGTGAATTTTCACAAAGTGAAAACTTTTGACAGAAAACACACTCTGTAGTGTTCACTACCTAGATCATGTGGTAGATGAAAGTTTGTAGTAGATGTAGATCATGTAGAGGTCCTCTTCCAGTCACTCCCTCCTTCCATTCAAGAGTAATCATGGTCCTGATTTTGTATTCTTTGTGAATGGAATCAGACAAGTCTGTTTTTTTTGTCTGACTTCTTTTAGTCACTTATATTTTAGTCATTATATTTGTGAGATCCATCCATGTTGTGTAGCAGCAGATCATTCATTCTCACTCTATGAATATGTGCTATATTTCTCGATTCTACTGTTGAATGGATTTCAGGATTATTTCCAGGTTTGGGAAATTCAGAAAAGGGCTGTGGTGAATACTCTTGTATGTGTTTTTTGATGAACTCAGCTATCTTACGTGTATAGGATTAGAATTGCTGGCTCATGGAGGTCTTCATCTGCCTGGCTTTAGTAGGTACTACTGCCAGTTTTTCAAAGTGGTTGTATGAATTTATGAACTCCTACTAGCAGTGTTTGGGGTTGCTTCACATCCATACCAACTGTTGCTATTGTCTTAAAAACATCTTTGTTATCCTGGTTAAAATGTAGCTGGTATTGAAATGTGGTTTTAGTTTGCATTACCCTGATCACTGATGTACTTTTTAAATGTTTATAGGCCAGTTAGATTTCCTCTTTTGTTGAAGTACATATTCAAGTCTTTTACCCATTTTTTTTTTTTCACTGAGTTGTATCTTTCTTATAGATGTATAGGAATTCTTTCTATATTCTGGATATGAGTCATTTGTCAGCTGTATGCAGTACAAAAATCTTGTCTCTCTTTGTGGTTTGCTTTTATGTTGTGGTGAGCTTTGGATTTTTACTGCCAGGTTAGTGGAACTGTACAATTGCTACCTGAAAAATAGGGAATCTGAACTGCTTTTGATCAGTGGTGGGGGTGGTTTCTCCACTGGTGAGGGCAAATTTGATACTGGTAAGATGGACCTTACTGGTCTCTGTCAAAAGTCTGCCACCTCTCTGAGAGTTTGAGGACTGACCTGGTTCTTTTTTTTGGCTTTCAGGTCGTGGATTCACAGATAAAGTAGATCGACTAAAACTGGCAGAAATTGTGAAGCAGGTGATAGAAGAGCAAACTACGTCCCATGAATCCCAATAATGACAGCTTCAAACTTTGTTTTTTGTAACAATTTGAAAAATTATTGTTTAATGTATAAAGTAATTTTATGTAAATTAATAAATCATTTCATTTCCACATTTATTAAAGTTGCTGTATAGATTTAAGGTGCAGGACTTAATAATAGTATAGTTATTGTTTGTTTTTAAGAAAAGCTCAGTTCCTAGAGATAGACTATTTAGGACTGTGTAGTCGTATATTTGTAAGATGACAGATGATGCTGTCAAGCAATATTGTTTTATTTGTAATAAAGTATACAAAAACCACTTGCCAGCAGAAGATGAAGGACTGACTATGCTGACCTTTCTGATTAGTAAACAGTTGAATCAAGGACTGTGGCATCTGGTTTTAGTTGCCCTGTGTATTTCTTTTCCGCACCATTGCTAGATTAGCTCTACTGTCAAGACATTTTTGTGGATCAGTCATTGCAGACTGCCTGCTGGAACTCACAGGAAGCATACTTGAGCTTGGGGAGCCAGCGCTCATGATGGAAGAAGAAGCTGAGCCCTCATTGCTCCTGCCCCTAATTCCCTAGAGAAAAGCAGGAACATTTCCTTTCTGTCATATTTGTTAAAAGGGTACTGGTGTGTTTCTTAAATCTAACAGGGTTGGGCACGGTGGCTCACACCTGTAATCCCAGCACTTTCGGAGGCTGAGGCAGGCAGATCACGAGGTCAAGAGAATGGAGACCAGCCTGGCCAACATGGTGAAACCTCATCTCTACAAAAAACAAAAAATTAGCTGGGCATTGTGGCACACTCCTGTAGTCCGAGCTACTCGGGAAGCTGAGGCAGGAGAATCTCTTGAACCCAGGAGGTGGAGGTTGCAGTGAGCTGAAATCGTGCCACTGCACACCAGCCTGGGTGACAGAGCAAGACTCCATCTCAAAAAATAAATATTTTCTTGTGTTTATTCTTTTTTTTTTTGAGACAGAGCCTCACCCTGTCGCCCAAACTGGAGTGCAGTGGTGCAGTCTCAGCTCACTGCAACCTCTGCATCTAGGGTTCAAGTGATTCTCCTGCCTAAGCCTCCTATCTGGGAATACAGGTGCCTGCTACAACACCCGGCTAATTTTTGTATTTTTGATACAGGCAGGGTTTCGCCATGTTGGCCAGATGGTTCTTGAGATCCTAACCTTGTGGTCCATCTGCCTCAACCTCCCAAAGTGCTAGGATTACAGGCGTGAGCCACCGAGCCCGGCATATTCTTTGTATGTTTAACTGGAGCTTCCCTTTCCCCTTCCAGGGGGCCCTGCTTTGTCCTTTCCCCTTCCCTGCAGCCTTCCTTTATTTCCTTTCCCTGTTCCTCTGGTCCTCTTTTTGGAATAATTAGTCTGAGAAATATACATATAATTGAAGTAGCCCTATTGGATTATCAGGTAAGATGATCCAGTTTTTTTTTTTTCCCATAAGGCTGCCCTTTTTCTCTTCACTATGTCTGCCTGGTTTTGTGTTGGCATCCTCTGGGCTTCATTTATCTTGCTTATTACTCTTCATTTTCAGGAAGCATGGTTTTGACTCAGAGAGCAGCTGTTTGAAAATAAGGCTAGGTCCTTTTGCAGTTTTCTGTTGTGCATATGGGTTTCCATAACCAGTTTTCGTGTGTGTGTGTGTGTGTGTGTGTGTGTGTATGAAGAAGAGTTTTGGGTGGGTACTCATGGTACATAGAAAAACTGGCAGGTACACTTCAACTTGCAGGGCAGAGAGACAGGATTAGTCATCTGTTACTCAGTTTTTTCTCATTGCATTCTCTTCAATCAAAATTGATCTTGGCTGGGCGCGGTGGCTCACGCCTATAATTCCAGCACTTTGGGAGGCCGAGGCGGGTGGATCACGAGGTCAAGAGATCGAGACCATCATTGTCAACATGGTGAAACGCCATCTCTACTAAAAATACAAAAATTAGCTGGGCATGGTGGCATGCGCCTGTAGTTCCAGCTACTAGGGAGGTTGAGGCAGGAGAATTGCTTGAACCCAGGAGGCGGAGGTTGCGGTGAGCCGAGATCGCGCCATTGCACTCCATCCTGGGTAACAAGAGCAAAACTCTGTCTCAGGAAAAAAAAAAAAATTGATCTCACCAGCAACTTATTTTTCTAACTCCTTCACTGTGCTGAGTAATTCTTCCACCCTGAGTCTTCAGGATGACATTTGGTTAGTATGCCCCGTATGTGTGTGACTGCCTGTGGGAATAAACGATAAAAACACAAAGTGTCTTAAGAATTACCTTATTACATTGGTTCCTTTTTATCTTGGAAAATTTGTAATTAAAAGCTATTTTTTGAGATAAGGTTTACTAATCTTAGGTGACTAATAAGTGTTATAAATGGATTTCCTGTAAGGAGAATTGAATACTTACCCGCCACCTCCCCTGAGACGGAGTCTCTGTCACCCAGGCTGGAGTGCAGTGGCGTGATCTTGGCTCACTGCAACCTCTCCCTCCCCAGTTCATGCAGTTCTCCTGCCTCAGCTTCCTGAGTAGCTAGGACTACAGATGTGCACCACCATGCCTGGCTAATTTTTGTATTTCTAGTAGAGATGGGGTTTCACCATATTGGCCAGGCTGGTCTCTGATTGCTGACATTGTGATCCATCTGCTTCAGCCTCCCAAAGTGCTGGGATTACAGGCGTGAGCCACTGTGCCTGACCTGAATACTTTTCATGATGGCAAAATCTAAGAGGCCACAGGAAAAAAACAATGTTTTTAAATTTTCTGACTAGAAAACTTGGCTGAGAGTTGAATTAAGTGCCTATTGTGTTTTCCAGTGAAATGCAAATCTTACAGATTACTTCTTACAGTTAGGAAAATTCCACACTTGTGTAATATTAGAACAACTGTAGTTTTCCTATCTTAGGGCAGAAGTTCAGTATTCCATGGGGAGAGAAAGTCAGTAATTACCTTTGTTACTCTCCTTTTTCTTTGAAGGAATTTTCTAGCATATCCAGTTTATCAGTAACTTCTTAAATTTGTGACTTGGGTGTCTTCTAAAAAGGCTCAGGATGACTTTTTTCCCCCTTCAGTGTATGCTGAATTTTAGGTGTGATGAAAAAGGTATCGAAAATGAAGCTTCCTTTGAGCATCTGTTGCCCACGCTGCAGTCACTTCGAGCTGAATTCATGTGGCCTTCAATGTAAGTGCTGTGTCCAGACATGTCCAAATGAGCACCAAGCTGGAAGTTTGTGAACACAGCAGCGGATACCCCCGCTGTTGTAATGCAACAGTGTGCCTTGAAAGACTCAGCATGGCTTGGTCTTCAGAGTGGAGTTTTGTTTGTATATTCCCAGTCCAGTAGTAAATTCTGCTTTAACATAACCACCATGTTTGCTACTCTAAATCTGCACATAACTGGAAGTGAAACGGTGTCTTTCTTGCATTTTTTAGCCTAACACCTATACCTGTGGAAACATAACACTATAAAAACAGTTCTTATAAAGCAGCACGTTATATTCCCCTGTTTGCCTACATGATTTACTAATTATGTAGTAATTAAAGCCATTACTTATCAATCAAATACCTTTAGATTTACCATAGTTATAAAAGTTGGCTTGATGTAGTAAAACTTGTATCTCTCTAATGCATGAGCATAGAATGCCAGTCAGAATTTATTGCTCGAAACAGATAAGGCTGGCCGTGGTGACTCACGAGTGTAATTCCAGCACTTTGGGAGGCTGAGGCGGGTGGCTCACCTGAGGTCGGTGGCTCACCTGAGGTCAGGAGCTCAAGACCAGCTTGGCCAACGTTGTGAAACTCTGCCTCTACAAAAATACAAAACTTAGCCAGGTGTGATGGTGCATGTCAGTAATGCCAGCAGCTCAGAAGGCTGAGGCAGGAGAATCACTTGAACCCTGAGGCAGAGGTTGCAGTGAGTGGAGATCATGCCACTGCAGTCTAGCCTGGGCAACAGAGACTCCATCTCAGAAATAAAAAAAAAACTAAATAAATAAATAAATGTGATCCTGCTATGTTGCCCAGGTTGGACTCAAACTCCTGGGCTCGAGCAATCCTCCTGCCTCAGCCTTCTGAATAGCTGGGATTACAAGTGCAAACCACCATGGAACTACTAAAAAGAGTTTATGTTGCTTGTATTCATTAGAGAAAAAAACGAGTTGAAGAAATGGTAATTGTTGGTCAAAGAAGCCGAAAGATTAAATCAGGTCTTGTGTGTGGGTATGTGTATGTGCATGTATTGAAGAAAATGTGTTTCAATTTGAGAATTAGAAAACTGGATATTTCATTTTAATTATTTAAAGAGTAGAATGTTCTTCCATTATTGAATCTTCTTTTATGCCACCAAATGGCTTAACCTGATTTACCCTGCCTATTTTGGTTAAGACACAGCAAAACACCCTAAAACCTGTGATAATTTTTGAAATACAATTTTAAGAAGATTTGCTCTTACATAAATCACAAGAAGAAATACAGCTGGAAATAATTTCACTTTTCTTGCTGTAAATTTTTTTAGTGGGTTTGTGACAGTATACATTTTCTTGCTAGATGCTAACGATACATTTTATTATCTGTATTAGGAATTACCTATTTAATAGGAAGAGTGAATAAATTGATCTGCTCTCATGCTGTTAAGATCTTAAAGTACCATTATATTCCTTTTGGTAGTCATATCTCATGTGAAAGGTCTCATGTAAATATCTGACTTATGGTAAAATATTTATGCAAGATAAAAAATGTACAACTTTATTTTTCTTCATCTAAAATGCACAGAATAACTGGGTAAGGAATGGATGCATCGGGCCTTTTTCCTTTTAAATTTGTACTGCTAAATACACCGAGGAAATTGACATCAAAACCAAATTCAAGGACTTCCACAGACATTACAGGTCAATTTTAGTTCCAAACGAAAGAAATATTTTAAAAGTTCTTATGTAGCCCAGTTTTCTCTTCTTTCCTTTTTTTTAATTTTTTATTTTTTTATTTTTTTATTTGAGATGGAGTTTCACTCTTGTTGCCCAGGCTGGAGTGCAATGGCACAATCTTGGCTTACTGCACCCTCTACCTCCTGGGTTCAAGCAATTCTCCTGCCTCAGCCTCCTGAGTAGCTGGAATTCAGGCATGTATCACCACGCTCAGCTAATTTTGTATTTTTAGCAGAGACAGCGTTTCTCTGTGTTGGTTAGGCTGGTCTCAAACTCCCAAACTCAGGTGATATGCCCACCTCGGCCTCCCAAAGTGCTGGGATTACAGGCATGAGCCGCCACACCTGACCAGTTTTATTTTCTTGAAACGTTAACTAGACACCTGGTTAGTCAGTTTATTTTGACCCCACAGTTTATTTTTATGTTGCGGCAGTTGGAGGAACTGAACTTTGACCCTGATCCTTTATGTACTCCTGCGGTGAAACAGCCCATTTTACTTAACACATAATATATCTGTGCATTAGGAAAACTTGGTAGAGAAGATTATCTTTCTGTGCAGGTATGAAATGTCTAAACTCATCTGTTATGAACCAACGATAATGTAGGAAAACTTGGATGTCCGCATACAGATTTTCTTGAATTAAAGAAAAAAAGCCAGACACTGACAAAGGAGAGTTGAACTGAGAAACGGTACCCTGAAAACCGCAGAAATGAGAGAAAGAGGCAGTGGGCCACAAAGAACTGTCCTTTTCAGAGATCCCCAGAGAAGCCCTGTCCCCTTCCCCCGACACCCTGCCAGAATGTTGGGTTTCAAAGAATGAGCAGGTTAATGGGTATCAAGTTGTGTGGCCTGAGCTAAGGATAAAGAATAATTTGCCTGAGTTATAGTACTGGCTGGGTCAGTACAGGCTTTCTACTTGGAATATCGCTCCATGAAGGAAAAAGGAACATAAGTAAGGAAGATTAAAGTTGTTGCTGCTGGAAGGGAGACATACTAAATAAACTACTGAAGGCCAGGAGAGAGCAGGAAGAGAAACTCAGTTGAAGTTCTGTAATACTCAGAGTTGGGCAAGAACTGCCAATAAGGGAGCCAGCATACATCTGAGACTAACACCAGAGCTTCCAAGGATCTGTGAGAGGGAGAGCTCTGCTGATGGACGTAGGTCCACAATCATTAACTATTTATTTGGGCCATGTCACTGGGGGCAGTATTAAAAGACTTTGCCAACATCATACTTTCTCTATGGAAAAACCAAGTGGCCTTGGAGGAGGCTAAGATAAAGTTTCAGACTTGGGCTCCACAGAAGTGGAACTTGAGGCTGGGTGTAGTACAAGGACCTTCATGTATCAGGTTAGAGATTTTGATGCTTTTGGTGATTTTTGTACCAAACATATGCTGTCACCTGGGATCAGTCTATTATGCTTTCTATGAAATAATTATTCCAAAGAGGCTGACAGTCCAGGGAGCAGAGAGCCCAGTAGAAGGACTGTCTTATTATTTATGGAAGGCCAGAAACACCTGGTACACCTGAAGGTGAAGAGAAGCCATTTTGTGAATAACTTTCCAGTCTACAGTTACCACAGTGGCATCCTGGGGCAAGAATCACCTTTTACCTCCCACGACTGCCACTGTGAAGGCTACATAGAAGGAGTGTCAGGTTCTTTTGTTTCTGTCAACACCTGTGCAGGTCTCAGGGGCATCTTGATCAAGGAGGAAACATCTTACAGCATTGAGCCCATGGAGTCTTCAAGACGGTTTGAACATGTGTTATATACCATGGCACATCAAGCACGAGTGTCCTGCGGTGTCGCTCCCACAGATAGCCATGTGGTGTCCACTAGCTGGCAACAAGGGAGCAAGAAGCCTTATGATCGACAGGTGCTGTCCTACTTGTGGTCACACCCCAAGTACGTGGAAATGTTTGTTGTGGTCAACAACCAGAGGTTCCAGATGTGGGGCAGTAACGTCAATGAGACGGTCCAGAGAGTAGTGGATGTCATTGCTCTGGCCAACAGCTTCACCAGGGGAATAAACACAGAGGTGGTGCTGGCTGGAATGGAGATCTGGACCGAGAGGGAACTAATAGAGGTCGCAGTGGACTTGCAAGTCACACTCAGGAATTTCAATCGCTGGAGACAAGAGATGCTCTTCCGTCGTGCGAAGCATGACGTTGCCCACATGATCGTTGGGCATCATCCTGGACAGAATACGGGCCAGGCCTTTCTCAGTGGTGCCTGCTCAAGCAGTTTTGCAGCAGCTGTTGAATCCTTCCATCATGAAGATGTGCTGTTGTTTGCAGCCCTCATGGTCCATGAGCTCGGGCACAACCTGGGTATTCAGCACGACCACTCGGCCTGCTTTTGTAAAGATAAGCATTTTTGCCTCATGCATGAAAATATCACAAAAGAAAGTGGCTTCAGCAACTGCAGCTCTTACTACTTCTACCAGTTCCTTCGAGAACACAAAGGGGCCTGCCTATTTAACAAGCCATGGCCCAGGGCCCGCAAGCGTAGGGATTCCACTTGTGGAAATGGCATGGTGGAGGACACGGAGCAGTGTGACTGTGGTTCTGCCTGTGACCTCGACCCATGCTGTGATCCCACATGCACTCTGAAGGAGAATGCTGAGTGCAGCCATGGCCTCTGCTGCCAGGACTGCTCTTTCAGAAGGAAGTGGCTTTTATGTCGTCCTACTCAGGATGAGTGTGACCTCCCAGAATATTGTGACGGGAGCTCTGCAGAATGCCCTGCAGACAGCTACAAGCAAGATGGCACGCTGTGTGATAGAATTCACTATTGCTCTGCGGGTCAGTGTAAGAACCCCGATAAGCAATGTGTGAATATATACGGGTACCCTGCAAGATCTGCCCCAGAAGACTGTTACATTTCAATGAATACCAGAGGAGACCGGTTTGGAAACTGTGGACGTCCCACTGAGGATCAGCAAAAGTATGTTACATGTTCAAGTGATAATGTATTTTGTGGGAAACTCGTATGTACAGGTGTTGAATCCTTACCACGACTCAAAGCTCAACATACAATCATCCAGGTCCCTCATGACGATGACTGGTGCTGGAGCATGGATGCCCATAACATTACTGATATCCCTGATGATGGAGATGTGCACATCGGCACTTCTTGTGCCCCAAACAAAGTCTGCACGGATTACTCCTGCGTCCATCACTCTGTACTCCTGTATGACTGCAGACCAGAGGAATCGTGTCATGGGAAAGGAGTTTGCAACAATTTAAGGCACTGCCATTGTGAGCTTGGTTTTGCTCCTCCTGACTGTAAAAATCCAGGAAACGGAGGTAGTGTGGACAGCGGCCCTCCGAAGTTCAAGTTACTGACAACAATGCAAGTGGTCATGAAAGTCATGCTCGTGGTCAACATGCAGGATAAGACCGATACTATAAAGTGGCAGTGGTACTAGTCCCCCTGTTTCTTCTAGTCTTATTGTGCACTCTACTTACAATGTCCTACCTCTTCTCTGAAGTGCAGACATCAGTGGCTGAAGTAGAGGAGTCATCAACGGAGACAACATTGGAATCAGAGCTGACTTCAGAAGATGTGGTCCCAACAGCAGAGGAAATCCTACCAGTAGGTGAGGAGGCCCCACCACCAGGAGAGGAGGCTCTACCACCTGGAGAAGGCTTGCCACCAGCAAAGGCCCCACCACCAGCAGAGGCCCCGCCACTGGCAGAGGCCCCAACAGCAGAGGCCCCACTACCAGAAGAAGCCCCACCACCACAGGCTGTCCCACCAGCAGAGTCCCCAACAGCAGAGGCTACCCCCCAACCAGAGGCTGCCCCCCCACCAGAAGCTGCCCCCCCACCACAGGTGCCACCAGTACAGTAGGCCCCTCTACCAGATGCCCAGGAAGAGCTGGCAGCAAAAGAGGAAGTAGATGAAAGACAGGAAAAGCTAAAGGAGAAGAGTGAGGATGAAGCCAAATATCTCAAACATGTCAAGCATTGAGTGGTAATAGGAAGCTTATAGAAGCAAATGTGAATGAGAATTGGTGTCTACAGAGGCTGTGACTTGACTGTGTAGAAGCATACTAATGTACGAAGAGGGATTTCTCCACCTACAATATTCATTTTAGTAAACTTGTTATATTTTGATACATAAAATTGTATATACAATGTACTATATTTCTATTGTTTCAAATTTCATGAAATAACTTTAGCTTTTCTCATGGGTCAGTGTTATGAATCTCTTGCTTCAGTCGGGCCAATTTCTGAGTCACCCAAATTGCTTTTCAGGGCATATAAACTTTCATTCACATGATCTGACATAATGTATTATTGATTATCCATGCCTATATTGACGTGACTGGGTTATTCATCCCAGTAGTCGCGGCTCATTATGTCAGGAATGTTATTGCTGTGATCGAGTATACTAATATGCCCTGTCTGCTTCTATTCAAGAAACATAGGTAATTTTAAATAAATAAAATGTTTTTATCTACATGAATCATCACTCCAGACTCCAAGCAGCCTAGTGCTTGGGATCCTTTATTTTGGGGCTCTGTGGAAGGGCCTAGACCTGATCCAGGGACATCTCACATACTCGGTCTGGATGTATAGAAGAGGGGAAGACAACCTAGGTAGGATGCAAGAGTGTTGAGTTCACGTTTGAAGTATTTCTTTCTTCTTTTTTTTTTTTTGTCTTAATAATTCTACTGCAGTTCATCTTTTGTTTATTGACAATTGATAGGAACATCTCAAATTACAAGTAACAGAACTTTCAATGTGGTAGTCATTTTTCGGTGAAGTAAGGACCCAGTGAATATAACAGTAACATTCTCCATTCTGTGCCAGGCCGTGTGCTAAACGCCTTATATTCACTGTCTTCATTTAATCCTCCCGACTGCCCTGTGAAACCTCCGTCTTGTACATGAGGAAACAGACTGAAGTTTGCCCGAGAGCTAGCCAGGACCTGCATCCCTCCCCAGGAATGAGTGAATCCCTTGCCTCATGAGCCTTTTTCTTCAGTTGGAAAAAAAGAAGTGAGGGAAAAGACATGTCCTTAACTGCCCAGAACATGGCTTCATCCTCAGTGACTCTAACGAAACCAGAGTTGTACAAATGAATGTTGATCCTATCATGAACCTATGGTGTTGTGTAGTCATTATGGATTGAAGAGTCTTTCCCCCTACTACATCCTGACAGCATGGCTGGCAATAAGGTTGGCATCTTGTTTAGCTCTGAGGGCCCAGCTTGTGGTAGGTGCCAAGACAAGTCAATGATTTAACCAGAGCCAACCTCAAAATATGGGGATTGCTAGTCTCTAGGCATGGCACATGCAAAATCTTTCTCAGGAACAACAGAGCTACAGACTGAGCAAATGTTCTGTCTCAGGGAAGATCCTAAGCATCAGTCCCCGAGCATATGCTGCCGAGCCCCTCTTCTGACTGCCCACTCTATGCGAGATAACAGAGCAAACAAAAGGATAACACCTGCTGTCTGCTTTCAAAAGCTTACGTTAGTTTCTCTGAGTGAGTGGAATAAAAACTTCGGAGCAACATCTGAAATGAAGTCTTCAGTTGTGGATACGTGACTACAAGTAAAGCAGGCCGGAAAACCAGGTCACAGGACTCAGGACTGATTCTGATAATCAAATCCAGGTTGAGTTTTATGCCAAAAGATCAAAATTCATGGTGGGAGACCGGGATATCAGGTTGAGCATGATATCCTGGTGATATCACGCCTGTACTCATAATGCACTTTGGGAGGCCAAGGTGAGAGGATGGCTTGAATCCAGGACTTTGAGACCAGTCTGGGCAACATGAAAAAATTTACCAGGAAAATTTTACAAAATTAGCTGGGCATGGTGGTATGCACCTGTAGTCCCAGCTACTTCAGACGCGGAGGCGAGAAGATCCCTTGAGCCTAGGAGTTAAAGGCTGTAGTGAGACACAGTTGCACCACCACACTTCGGCCTGGGCAACAGAGTGAGATTCTGGTTCCAAACAAAATAAAAAAGAAAGAACCCCTGCTATCAGTTGGTAGGCACTTGAGAGTTTTGAGAACAAAAGTGAAGCTGTGGAATTAAAGGTCTCCAGTGGCTCACGCCTGTAATCCCAGCACTTTGGGAGGCCAAGGTGGGCGGATCACGAGGTCAATAGATCAAGACCATTCTGGCCAACATGGTGAAACCCTGTCTCCACTAAAAAAACCCAAAAATTAGCTGGGTGTGGTGGCGTGCACCTGTAGTACCAGCTACTTGGGAGGCTGAGGCAGGAGAATTGCCTGAGCCCAGAAGGTGGAGGTTGCAGTGAGCCGAGATCGCGCCACTGCACTCCAGCCTGGTGCCTGGCGACAGAGCGGGACTCTGTCTCAAAAAACAAAACAAAACAAAAAGGTCTCCAAATGTAAACTTGTATTAGAGGCTTTTGAAAAAGAAGTGAAAATGTCTGAGAAAAGCACTTGTACAGCGAACTGGGGAGTTACGGAAGGGGTAACCCTCACAGTGGGCATGCTGATGGTGACCGTAATGAAACAGAATGAGTATCACATATTTAAAACATCAAGGACAAGGGAATCACAATATAAATAATGATTTATACGTGGAATGATTATTCTTGGCTGATTTAATAGAGCTCTTTAAGGACCAGAAGGCAAGTAGATAATTGGAAATGACAAAATGAAGCCAACAGAGCATTGGACAAAGATGTCACAAAATTTAGCAACTGAGGAGATTTTTTGTAGTGGACTTTTAAGATTTTATTTGCTTATCCTTATGACTGATTTGAGCTTCAGGATTACAAGCCCATGTTGAATATGGGAAACCAAGATTAGAACAAGTGTTTGGTTTTTGTTCTTTCGTTTTTGAGATGGGGTCTAATTCTGTTGCCCAGGCTGGAGGGCTGTGGCACCATCATGGCTTACTGCAGCCTTGAACTCCTGGGCTCAAGCAATCCTCCTGCTTCAGTTTCTAAGCAGCTAGGACTACAGGCTCATGCCACCATGCCTGGCTAATTATATTTTTCTTTTTTTTTGGAAATGAGAGGTATCACTATGTTTCACAGGCTGGTCTCAAAGTCGCTGTCTCGAGTGATCCTCCTGCTCTGGCCTCCCAAAGTACTGGAATTACAGGTGTAAAGCACCATGCTTTGCCTAGAACAGATATTTGAGTAGATGTTCTCAGAAACGATGTTTGGAAATTGGACATATTTATAAATTTTCACATGAATTGTAAATTTTTTGTATTTTTCGTAGAGGTGAGGTTTCACTATGTTGACCAGGCTGGTCTTGAACTCCTGTGCTCAACTGATCTGCCTGCCTTGACCTCTCAAAGTGCTGGGATTATAGGTGTGAGCCACCATGTCCAGCCACAACATCTGTGGTATAGAAAGGCAATTTGGAGCTTGGAGAGGATTTTGTAAAATCCAGAGAGCCAGAGGCACGAGAGGAGTTAGGAGGCTGATGAAATCATTTGAGTGAGAGAATGCAGTGGGAATAAAGGGAAGTAAATTGGTTCTTTTTTTTTGGATGAAATCTTGTTCTGTCGCCTAGGCTGGAGTGCAATGGCATGATCACAGTTCACTGTAACCTCTGCCTCCTGGGTTCAAGTAATTCTCCTGCCTTAGCCTCCTGAGTAGTTGGGATTACAGGTGTGCCCCTCCACATCTGGCATATTTTTGTATCTTTAGTAGAGATGAGGTTTTGCCATGTTGTCCAGGCTGGTCACAAACTCCTGACCTCCGGTGATCTGCCTGCCTCAGCCTCCCAAAGTGCTGGGGTTACAGGCATGAACCACTGTGCCCAGTGTAAATTGGTTCTTAAAATATTCTGGAGAAAGTAAAAAAACTCTCTGTCCAGTGATCTTTACGTTCTTCCCCACGTTTTTTTCTTAGAGCAGGTTCTCTTAAAAAGCCTGTTGTTGGCCGGATGCGATGGCTCATGCCTGTAATCCCAGCACTTTGGGAGGCCGAGGAGGGCAGATCACAAGGTCAAGAGATCCAGACCATCCTGGCCAATATGGCAAAACCCCATCTTTACTAAAAATTCAAAAATTAGCTGGGCATGGTGGCATGTGCCTGTAGTCCCAGTTATTCAGGAGGCTGAGGCAGGAGAATCACTTGAACCTGGGAGGTGGAGGCTGCAGTGAGCTGAGATCATGCCACAGCATTCCAGCCTGGTGACAGAGTGAGACTGTCTCAAAAAAAAAAAAAAAAAAACAACCAAAAACCCAAAATCTGTTGCCAGTCTGGGGTGCAGAGGTACAATCCTAGCTCACTGCAGCCTCGAACTCCTGGGCTCATGGGATCTCCCCACCTCAGCCTCCTGAGTAGCTGGGACTACAGCTTGCACCAACACTGATTTAAAAAAAATTTTTTTTTTTTTGGTAGAGATGGGGTCTCACTGTATTGTTAAGGCTTAGTCTGTACGTTCTCTGTAAAAGAATAGATTTGGCTGTCTGCAGAGTGGGAATATTTGGGGGCAGTAAGGAGCAGGGGGAGCAGACAGTCTGGAGCAGCCCTGAGGTTAACATGAGAGAGATGTGAGTGAAGGAAAAGAGAAGCTGAGGCGCAGCATCAAGGGCCTAGCTGAGGCTGGAGCTCAGAAACTAGCTTGTGCAGCCAGTTCGCACGGCTGAGTAACTTCGTCAGCAATGCTGGAGAGCCTAGACAAGCAGGCATAGAAAACCAGTGCCTGGGTTGATTTAGGATGGAGAACTAGCCAACCAGCCACCACGGAAGGTCAAAAGGAGAGGGGTAGCTGTCTGACCCTTTGCTCTTCCTGCTGGCTGGCATGAGAATGTGATAGCAGGTCAGACGGCCAAGACAGACCACAAGGTAAGAGTGGAAATGAAAAGTCACAGCAGAGTAACATGATAGAAAGAGCCAGAGTCCCTGATCCCACAGAGCACATCACACAGTGCCCCAGACCACATACCTGGGCTTTTGTGTGCAAGAGAAAGAAACTTTAGCTTGTTTCAGTCAGTTTTGTTAGGTTTTGTACTGCTTGAAGCCAAAACAAC